AGCTGCTGTGTCCTCTGTCCTGCTGGTCCATGAGTGTCTGTCCCATGGAGAGAGGAAGGTGTCCTGCTCCTCTGAGGGAGCAGACAGTCCTCAGTACAGCTGGACTCTGGATGGAGACACTCTGACAGACTCTCAGCTCCTCGGTGGAAACAATGAGACGAACATCATCACTCTGAAACAACACGTCTCAGGACGACTGGTCTGCTCGGTCAGGAATGACGTCAGTAGTCACTCAAAAGAAGAGACGGTCTCTACCTGTGGTGAGTGACAGCATGAGGCGACAAAACTGTGACGTCAACAATACTAAAGATTATCTGATTATCAGTTATTGATCTGTCTCGCAGGCTTCATCTTCATTAACTGCACCTCAGCCGATGGGACGCACATATCACAGTGGGTGGTTGCAGCCGATAATAATCTGTGTATTGAGACAAAAGTTTCCCCCACAGACACAGCATTGCCACGGGATGGTGACGAGTCTGACATCACAGAATCAACTAACCTCAACGGTAATTTCACATCCACCAATAATACTGGATCCTGCACCAGTTGTGACACCTGTACTGTTTGCTAAAGTTAAAGCTCTGCATGTCTCTTGTGTCTTTTTTTACAGTGAGAACATTGACAACAGCAGTTTGTGTTTTGGCTGCACTCGTACTTCTATTAGTGGTCGGGGTCTCTGTCGTCTGTGCTCAGAAGAAAAAGAGAGAAAACAAACCTAAAGGTACAGAACAAAATGTCAAGCTATGACTTTAATAATTCATGAAACCAACAGACCGTGGTGGAGGAAATATTCAGATGCTTTATGTTTATTACTTGGAAGGAAACTAATTTAACTCCACTACAACCATAGAAAATGTTGCTTTACAATATGTAAGAAATTTCTGGAAACAAAAATATACCAATAGATCATGCATTAAAGTTAAAGCAGGCTTTTATTGTTGTAGTTGATGGAGTTAATTAGTACAAATGGGCATGAAGGATTCCAGTAAAGTTAAGTACCCCTCACATTTTTACTTAAAACCAGTACTTACATTAAGTACTTTATATATCTCAACATTAAATAGACATTTGTGTCTCTTTCCTTTCACTCTGCAGAAGAAGACGACCAGGAATTAACCTATTCTGAGGTCAGGATTGGGCCGCGGCCGGGGAGGCAGATGAAGCAGAGAGCAGAGGAGGAGGTGGAGTACGGGGAAGTGAAGTTTTCACAGCGACCCCGACACAATGTTGAACCAGCTGCAGACGAGTGCGTGTACGCCAAGGTGCGTAGAGAGCGATGATTCACAGGGTTTAGAGACTGAACAGATGAAGGCAGAAGCTTCAATTATTTTCAAATTAAATTATTTTTCAAAAATATTTTCAAATATTCCGATAACAATATTACATTACGTTCCCCTCCTTAAACATTTACTTCTTGTTTCTAATTCATGAGCATATCTATCTTCACGCTGTAAACTTGAAATTATATACATATGAAATTTTAATACAGGTCTTAAAAATGTATGTCACTATTTTTAACTCACTGGATTACAAAGTATTTTTTTGTTAGAATGAACTTGGACTGAAATGTATTCATGAACCAGATGTAGAATGATTAGTTACCAGAATAAACGTGTATTATCATGCTTACTGTATTTAGTGGGGATTCATTTAACGTTTTGTTTTAAGTCAAATTAGACCAAGCTATCTCCCCAATCGCTACAATTTACAAATTGTTCAGTTTGTAGAGAAATGTCTATGAGGAAATTTGCGGTATCTGCATAGTTCATGTTTCCATGGTTTCAACACTTCTGCTTAATTGCAGTTTTGGATATGAGAGGCTTTAATCTTATACTTACAATAACAGGAAAGTTAGTAATGAAATTCTTCCATTTTAGTATCTGCTGACATGAAGCATGCAGTTAAATCACATTGTTTCCCACGATTGCCAGCAATCACATTGCATTCAGTTCCTCATACTTTTGATCCTTTACTGAGATGGAGAGAGCTAGTGCCAGAAACACTTTGACTTGACATACTGAGCATTCAATGTGTTTATCTTTTAACACCCTCATGTTTCTATATTTTGTTCTTCATGTTTCATCTCCCTTTGTGGCTTCCAGTGTATTTAGTTGAGAATGTTGCTGCTTATTTATCAAAATCTTATATCAACCAGTCACCTAAACCTTCAAGAAGGTTCAGTATTTGGATACAAATACAGTCATTTATCTTACTATAACCTTGTAAAATTGATGACAAGATGTCATATGAAGCCATTTCTGTGCTTCTGGCAGGTGAAGAAAGGATGGACAGTAAAACGTCACATTCAGCATGAGAACTCCTCAGAACTTTGGATTCTAAAGCATCATTAATTAAAGTTACCTGATGTGTTTGGTTGGACAGCTTAAGGCTAAACGTTGATAACCATGCACTTCCAGGTCAGATTATTTGTAAAGTCATAAAATTGGTGTTTATTGCTCCTGATAGTTATGGTGTCATTACACAACCACCTGGGATCATTTTTTTAGTTGAACCCTCTCATTGAAACACAGTTGAACTTCTGACCCACAAACTCGAGTGAGCTAATCATTGACCACGCAGGAGGGGGGTTATAAAACCATTTTAAGAAGAACCATTTTGCTACTTTGTTCACATCAATGACAGTATGTGGACCATCGTGTGCAGTATTGTAGCAGCAGTTAGTCTTTAAGTGTGTGCACACCATTGGAAACCCAAAGAGATTCAACTGTTGCACCAGAGCCCTTTATAGGTTTGGTTGGACTACAATTAAGCATTTATTTTTCATAAAAAACAGGTGATTTAGTGACACATTCATGTGAGGCTACCCAAACACGCCAAATGTGTCCAATTATAAAAGCAAGACTGGTGGCAATTCTACAATGCTTAGCAGGTGTTTGATTGAAGATATCCTCCATTGCCACTTAGTCATGAGTTCCGTTTTTAGTATTAATTTACTATTTGTACATTATTTGTGAAGTACATCCTTTTAATGTGGAACTGTGTGAATGTAAAGAAATGTAGTGTTAGAGATGTAAAGGTTAGTGTGGAAATCATTTAGTGATATGCCCTGTATTAATGTATGATTTTATATGGTCAATGTAACTCATCTCAGGTAATAATGTCTTAATTAATTACATGTATTTATTAACTAATTTTGTGTGCAAGTAAGCCTGTACACCAGTGGTTTACATGGCCTGTGCACTGAGCATAATTTTCTATTTTACATTACAGGTCATTTAAGGAACGGTTTTATCCAAAGCGACTTACATTACATTTTAAACCCATGGCTTTTCACATTTTGCCCGGGGAGCAATTAGGGGTTAGGTGTCTTGCTCAGGGACACTTCGACTTGAGACATGGAGCGGCCGGGACTCGAACTGGCCGCTATGACCAAAAACCAACATGAACATGAAAACAGGGGAATTCACTGAACACAACGATTGACAAATGTATGACGAGTTGCCCAAAATTTGTGGTACAGCGGTTTATTTCTAAAAGAACGTTTTTGCAATCCTCTGCCTAATATGTCCGTACAAGGTTTACATTTCTACATCCACTTCCTCTTTTCTCCCCCTTCTTTAAAGTGACAATGTGAGCGTGAGTTAATATATACAAAGTAGCACTTACTAACATTTCACACATACATAAGAACGGATACGTAGGGACTTATTCTTTCTATGTTAAAAATGAACGTCTGCATTTAGCCGTTAAATGTCGGTGGACAATGAGTCATGTAGAAGCGGTTTTTCAGGATGTGGCTTCATTCTGCTGTGAAAGCTTAATATTCCAGTCATTTGTGAACACGCTTGCTCTCAGTTCCTTTCTGTTATTACGATGTAGCAAATGAAATAAGGTATTCAACATTGTAAGAGTTTTAACCAAATGTTTTAATGTCATTATGAACCTGCTCAGATTTTATGGATTGGTTTATCATGTTTCTTTTTTAATAACACGGCATTTTTCTTTTATTTCTTTTTTTTTTTAAACAAAAACACTTCAATTTCCATCACACCAAACACAGCGGGCCCCCTCCATAACTTAAAGAAGTTTGGTTTATACTTTGTAATGATGTATTCTCATGATAAATCCAGCATCCACACTTCAACAGAACAGATTAATAAATGTGTTTTGAACTTTGTGTTCAGCATATTTGACTTCTTCCCTCAGAAGTAGGAGCTGTAACACTCTGCGTCGCCTGTAAATTCAAATGACAAACAGATGTACTTCCATCATTGTGCTGCATTGTTCATTCATTTACTCACACGTGTGATTTAGAGACGTATTTCTCATGCAGTTTAATCAACTATTGTTGGAACTACTCTCCTACTCATGAATATGTTTTCACTTTTATCAACAAAGATTTCAGAAAAATGTCGACATTTGGTCTGAGATAAAGAAAGAATAACTTATGAAATGCTTTGTTAGTGTTGCTTTAAACTACTTCAAGAATAAGTGTAAAAGTTATTCAGTGACTCTTAATCCTTGAACGCGCTGAAGTTTTGTGCAAATGCCGCATAGATTATCAATGCAACAAAGATGTGTAGTGCTCGTCGTTGAAAAGCAGGCGGTGCAGCATTTTAACATCATGTCATGATGATCATCTTCATTCAGTGAATGCGAAAGTCATAAAAACAAAAATAAGGCTATTTACATCTTTCCCGCTGCATCAGTCTCTATAGTCCTCTGGTATGTGGTCAGACACTGAGGCTGGGGGGCGTGTGGGGGTCAGAGGGTCCAGCCGCCGTCAGTGGGGTCGGCGTTGTAGTGGAGGCCTTCTCGGGATGCTGCAGCTTCTTGCGGTTTATCTTCCTCTCTTTGGCTCGTCTGTTCTGAAACCAGATCTTCACCTGAGATATCAGCGTCACAACTTATTTAGTGTCTGATTCAACTGGAAGATTTTAGGACACTGAAGTATAATGATGCAAAATCGCTTCCATGTTCGCTTTCACTTGACTCTGTAATGTGTCACCTCCAGCTGACAAATCGCTCCGCTTCGTCTACTTCTGCTTAAGTTTAGTAATTCCCTTCGTTCCCAGAGAGACCTTGTTGCACCCAACTGTGGATTTAACAATTGTAATGAGTAGGAAGGAAAACTGAACCAAGACAGTAAAGACATCATGAAGAATGAAGTATTCCCCATTAACTCTACTTGTACAGGAGGTTTTGGTGGCCACATGACGTCAAGGTTTACAGAGGTTTCTGCTGATCTAAAGTTGGTTCCCTCAAATTGTTCAAAAACGCTCTGCTAATGTGTGTTATATTAGAATGAACTACGTCAAAGGCAACAAGAAAACTACATAACCAAACACGTTCATGGGCCAAAGCTTCTATGGTTTTAGGACTTGCAACTGCTAATATAGGTTACTGCTTTCATGACTCCCTGTCACAACAGCAGGGTTCTTTCCATGTGGATAAACTTAATATAATGTTTGAAAGGAGAATTACAAATTGAGAGTTGTTTTCATAACTGCTAAAAAACACTTTACATTTTACAGCCGGTGGAGTTTGCAGCATGAGCGTGACAGTCTCCACATCGAGCATGAGTCTGACCTTCAGTCTGTGGATCTCATCGGGGTCCTCATGCTATGTTTCAGACCCTCTCTGGTTACTGACTCTTTTTAATAATGTTGAAGAGTTTGTCATTGATTTTTACTTGACACTTTTCCGTCGGGCCCCTGTGTAACCAGTCTCACCTGTCTCTCGGAGAGGCTCAGTGCCATTGACAGCTCGGTCTTCCTCCTCATGGTGATATATTGGTTGCATTGAAACTCCTTCTCCAGCTCCAGGCGCTGCTGGTCGGTGTACACCACCCTGTACTTGTCCTTGGTGCGGGTTTTTGTTCCTTAATCCCACAAAATAACCCTGTTTTAGCAAAACAACTGATACCAGTTCAGGTGATTGAATGTGTGTTAAACATTATCATAAGGCCACAGAGTCACGTGCAGTCTGAGCCGTCTCCAAACAGATGACTAATCCCAAGACGTCTGGTGCCACGTTCAAGTTCGGGCGCCACTTAAAGCCTCATTACCTCTATTAATCACGCTAATTCGAACAAATGTAAAGAGTCTCCTCGGCATTGCATAAGTGTGTTCTCCTTATCGCTGTGAGTGTTGTTTACACAGGTGTTTACGCAGCCAGCTATTCATTGACACACACACACACACACACACACATATACATACTGGGTAGTCAGAGTTATTGATCTGAAATCTTGACCATGTGACAGTATCGATTGAAGCAGACACACACACACACACACGCACACAATTGAGGACTGAGGGTTTTCCTTCAGAGCGCACTGGGTTTGACTTCCTGCAGTGCTCTGTTATCTGGCCGCTCTGTGTACATGTTGAAATCCTTCCTGCGAATGAATTTGCGCCATATCTATAATCTCTACACCCACCCGGCCTCTGGCGCCTCGCTTGTCATCATCTCGTGACTGAACCGGCGACTGACACCGCAAATTGTCTGATCAAAGTTCTTCTACTTCCAGTAGACCAATAGGGTAAGTTTGATCAAGACAACACTTTTCCTGTCAAATGAAAACATCCGTTTTGTGATCTACCTCAAGATTGCTCAAAACATGTGTTCAAAAAAGACTTCTAATCCTCTAAAGTTACATTCATATCCTATCACGTACAATGTATCACCGGCCACTGCGCCTCACAGCCTATAATGAGCCAACGGTGACCTCTGTGTCTGTCTCCGGTACGAAGTCCTAACGCCCACCTGAGAAGGACGGTCTGGCGCTTTCATGGGGTCTCCTCCCGCAGTTGAAGGCGTCCTGTCCGGGGACGAAGTTGTACGCCTCTCCAGCGGCGTTAGGCGTGACACTCAGCTCCGGGGAGGAGAAGATGACCTGCCCGGGGCTGGGGCTTGACCCTGGGAAGCCGTACAAATACTCCTCCCGGGGAGCGCACACGGAGCTCCAGCCACTTGTCGACGGGTCCTGATAGTAGCCGGGGAAGTCGTACGACGGCGCGTAGTACTGGCTGTTCAGGGACAGGGTCTGGGCGGGATGCCTGGCCGAGTGCGAGTTGGGGTACATGCCGGTGTCCTGGTCCCACGGCTGGGGTCACTCTCGGGGGAATCAAACTGCCTGGCGCATTTCAGGCCTCCCTGTGTATTCCCGGCATGCGCTGGCGTTCTGTCTCTTACTTCAGTCCAAGGTTTGGCTACCTGCGCAGTACGACGACACACACCTTTATAGATTTACTGCCGAGGAGTTCAAGAGTATCATCGTGACGTCACGTGCAGCCCGAGACCCACCTGCCTAATCGTCTTGGCGACGTGAGTACAATGACCCTGATTTACTGAGTCTGCCTGGGATCATTTGCGTGAGGCCATCATTCTAGGTGCGGGGGCAGTGTGTGCTCGTGCGCGTGCACGACAAAGTGGAAATGTCATGTGAATATCAGCAGAGAGATTGTAAAACAAGATGTGAGTGAGCTCCGTGGTTTTAGAGTGTTATCAAACAACACACCAGCACGTTAAATCGCCATGTGAAATGTAGTCGCCATCTTAGTAAAAGTAAATAAGTGTTGGTAGCATTAAGAAATGTAAAGTTATTCATCTGGCTGGTCAGCAGGGCAGTAGCCAGGATTTATATACTGAATTCAAGTCCAAATTGATACACTGATGCAAAAAACAATGACACTTTAAAATGAGTCACACTGCGGTTTTAATGCTTCCATTTCACACATTCAGGCAGGAACAGTGATACATTGTTTTTACACAACCGGAAAAATCAGCTCTATAGATTTAAGACATCCACGAGTTTATTTGTGGACTTATAGAGTATAAACTCATTTTGAACGCTTCATAGATTTTGATACAGAAACTGGAAACAACTTTAAACAGCCACATGAGGATGCCAGAGTTTTGTAAATGACTTTGCGGGTGTGAAGTCCAGCAGTTTCACAGCTTCCATGCTTCTCTTATTTTCATTTTCCACATTCAGTTGATGTACTCAGGATAACATGACAAATCGTATGATGTGTTTTGTACTTGTTGAGCTTGTCTGTGGATACATTTGCAACTGAGTCTACCAAACATTCAGTATCTGTATCTCGTCCAGTAAGTATTTGCTTTTCCACAGTTTAGGCGCATGGTAGTGAAGAGACAAGTGCAACATCAAAAGCAAATCTGAAAAGTCAGAAATACAATAGATCATAGGCAGCGTTGCTTTCGCACTTTTTAGCACTTAGAGAATACATTATCATCAATAACCATCATAAATTATCATCAATAACATGATGTATGTATAAACTGGACCTTCAAGACCTATATTCAGACATTCAGAGGAGTTGAGGCTCTTGCAGCCAGTATGACTCTTCACTATTTATCCAAATTACGGATCACTGGGGAATAAAATGTGTTCCATGGTTCCAGTTTAAACAGTGGAGGCTAAATAACGTTCCCACTGGTTTCCTTGCAGTCGTAATATTGTTACGACTAGAAGGTGCACAGACGCACACAGAGCTTTCATTTTCCACTGTCCTCGAAGACCGATAAGAGTTCACAAAAAGTCTGCCAACAGTGACAGGACAAGGCAGGAAGTGAAGGTAACCCTGGGACACAAGTGGCAGGAAACTACAAAATAAAACAGGAAATGAATCCAAATTGTGACAGTAACTTTGAAAAGAATGATTTAAAATGCTTTCCAAGCCCATTGTGTTTGTCATGATCAACTAAACAAGTCCGCTCTGCATCTGCAAAACTGCTCGTTCCTCCCTCACTGAGAGCAAAATACTCGACTTGATCACGACTCTTTGCTGTCCACCTTGAAATGGTGGAACGAGCTCTCTAGGTCTGGTGCCGGTAACAAATGCACTCATTGTAAGTCGCTTTGGATAAAAGCGTCAGCTAAATGACATGTAATGTAATGTAAAGTTGAGTTGAATCTTACTGTAAGTAGCAACTCGTGCCATTGTGCAGAGCTGCATCAGGTTACGGTTCTTGAAGCACAAAAACATCCCACATTTTTCTGTGAGTCTTAAAAAGAACAATACAATAATTTAATGAAATTGAGTTACATTCTGTTTAGTCTGAATGCAACCGACCACTCGAATGCTGGAGCAAAGACTTAACTAGACTTCTGTGCTCTGTTTTCTCTTCTTTTTTTTATTTCCTGGATTATTTTAGACAGTATGCAGTAGAGAGCTGACAGTAAATGAGAGTTAAAGAGAGGAATGATATGCAACAAAGTTCAGGACTCAAACCAGAAACATTGTGATCACACGCTTTGTGTGAGACACGCAAGTGTCTCACACAAAGGTCAACAGGAAGTCGTTAGTTCCTCTAATGTCTCCTGCTGTACATTTAATCTCCCGCTCTGCTTATAAGTGAGTTAAACAAAACATCCATCCATCCATTTTCCTCACCAGATGCCCAAACCACCTCAACTGGCTCCTTTCGACGCAAAGGAGCAGCGGCTCTACTCCGAGCTCCTCACGAATGGCTGAGCTTCTCACCCTATCCGTAAGGGAGACGCCAGCCACTCTCCTGAGGAAATCCATTTCGGCCGCTTGCACCCGTGACCTAGTTCTTTCGGTCATGACAAAAACAACAAAAGAAAATACTACAACAACCCCTCATTATGTTTATTGTAATGTTATATATAGAGAGATATACGATAATCATCTTGCTATTACCTTAGGCAAAGACACATTGGAGAAAACCAAGGGAACATATTTTTCTTTTAAAATTACAATTATCAAAATAGTTAATCAATTGGCTGCTGTTGCTGTTTTTTATTTAATGGACCAACGTGTAGTTTGTGCTGGTGCACTTAAATTCTGACTGCTTATCTTGAATCTATCTGATTCGTTGTGAAATATCGCTGAATTCTCATTAACAGGAACCTCAGTGACAGACACACACAAACACAGAGAGGTCGCAGTTTGTTTATTCGTCACAGGGTACAGACTAATCCAACTAACTTCGGCACAGGAGAACATTTTATATCTCCGTTGGACGTGCCGAGGCGCAGATGTCCCGCTTTGGAGCCCCCACCCTTCCCATTCCGTGTGCGTAATGGTCAAACAACGCATCGTGGTGCTGAGATGAATTTCATTGCTCCCTCTTCTGGCGCCGCCTCAAAAACATTTTTGTGGGTTTCCCTGCAATCACACATCATGTCTTAAAAACAAATTGGTGGTTTTTTGTCCCTTATCTTCGCAGGAATTTAAGCGTGCGCTCATCAGACTGCAGGAATGAGGTTTGTCAGGAGGTCACACATTTTCTTCTCTCATAAAGTCAAGTTCTTTTATTATATGGCGGTGATTACGGAACAATAAAGATATCTGAGCTTCGTCCATTAATATAATGACAGACATCATTGTAGATAAATATAATGTACTATATAATGTTCTACTCGTCATTAACTCATTAAAATTTCCAGCTCTACACTGAGTTCCTCCTGTTTCGTTGCATGAAATGTTTGATGGTAATGTTTGTGGTGGTTGTTGTGTATTATAAGATTATTTTTCTGATTTCTAGTTTTGGGGAGCATAGTCTCCGGGTACTCTGGCTTCCTCCCACAGTCCAAAGACATGCTTTTAGGATCAGGTAAATTGGTAACTCTAAATTGCTTTGGATGGATGGATAGTTTTGGGCCTGATCCACATCTGAATCCATTCATCAATCCGGCAGAAAAAACACAGACCAGGAACTCACAAACGAGAGTTCCCTTCAATCGCCACAAGGGACACACATGGCTCAAATACACTGGGAAGGTGAAAGTTATTGGACACAGGTGGAAACAATCATGGACACAGTAGACAATGAACAAACCGTGACAGCCTCTAACAATTCAATATCCATCCATCCTTCTGCAAACCGCTTATCCTGCACACAGGGTCGCTGGAGTCCATCCCAGCCAACTTCGGGGCAATAGACAGGGTACATCCTGGATTGGTCGCGAGCCAATCGGAGGGCTAACACAGAGACAAACAACCATTCACACTCACATTCACACCTCTACGGGCAATTTAAAGTCCCCAATAAACCTGATCCCCAGAGCATGTCTTTGGACTGTGGGAGGAAGCCGGAGAACCCGGAGAGAACCCATGCAGACACGGGGAGAACATGCAGACTCCACACAGAAAGGCCACTGGGCAGAGTCGAACCCAGGACCTTCTTGCTGTGAGGCGACAGTGCTAACCACCACGCCACCGTGCCGCAATTCGGCAAAACGGCTTCATCCATCTTCACAGAGCGTGTTGGTTCAGCTGAAACTCTCTTTAGCCCCAGTGTAACGTACTGATGACCTTCTGTTCTCTATGTTCACTGTCGCTGTCTACCTGCATCGTCCCCGTTGTGGGTCCGCTCACACCTACTGACGTGCAGCACTGGTTGCACTTCAGCGAGGAAAACCACCCAGATCAAAAGTGAAAGAAACCGGCTCATCGCCTGCTTTTACAAGCTTGTTATTGTAGCAAAAACTATTTTCAGTCCAGTTCATTGTTTATTATTCCAGCTGCATTATTAAACGGGGACATCTGCCAAATATAAATCCTTTGCTATCCTCTGCGTTTTCCTTCTCCATCAACCACTCCCTCGTGTCAACATACGCTGCAATTATTGAAAATAACAAACTACCCCATGCTGCATGATGTGTCTTACCTGAAGCTTATTAAAGAACGTGTGCTTTGCCTGATGTTCCACATTGCTGCATTTCCACCTATTATCTTTGTAAGCACTAAAACGCACCAAAGTGTATTCGTGGGACGGTGGATTTGGTGAAGATTTACTGCATGAAGCTGTCGATTACATCGTTATAAATAGATTGACGTTAAGGTGGCACAGTCCTGGGTGGTGTTGCTCCCCTCCCCTCTAATAACGGGGGCTTTGCTGGCTCTCTAATTACTGCTAGCTTTTAGCTTTTAGATTTACCCTGACGATTAGAGCAGAACACGGTTACCATCCAACGAGAGAGGCTGAAGGGGAAGAGAGAGAGAAGGGTGAAGAAGAAAATAGGTTTTTATGAGTTTTGGGATGAATTGGAAAAGAGAGGGTCTCACCCCGACTGCATGTATCCTAATATATGACATTATTTTGCCGAGAAACCGAGAGCTCAATGTTTGTTTGTTTGGACTCAGCTGAAACCTTGTTTCTGTCCCGGCTCGGACCTCTCAGCCAGTCACTCCCTCACTTTCTCTCTCTTCCTTTTTAATGCCTTTGTTATTTCGTGAAAGGGTTAGATGCGGTCCAGATTTCCGTTGCCAATAGAGACTGTCTCAGTCCACCTCCAGTTGCTCGCCACTTCATTCATAAACAAATCACCCCGGCTCAGGACCTCTGAGCGGCTATCGGAGAACAACAAGCAGAACCCGACCTGCGTCTCTTCTCTTTTTGCCTTCACTTCTTTTTTTTTTTGCGCTTTTCAAACTTCCCTCTATTGCTTTTTTGTTCAACTCCCACACACGACCCCCCCCCCCTGCCTCTCTCTCTTCAACCCGCTCTTCCTCTAGCTCCAGCAGGGCCGGGCCACTGGTTCCCTCCTCTGTGTGAATCTGTTAGGGAAGCGGTGTGCATGTGTGTGCGCATGTCCCCGCCTGAGAACACTTCTTTTCAAACTTGCGGCACTCTTTGGGAACGCTGGGCAGTGTGTGGGAGAGAGAGAGAGAGAGAGAGAGAGAGAGAGAGAGAGAGAGAGAGAGAGAGAGAGAGAGAGAGAGAGAGAGAGAGAGAGAGAGAGAGAGAGAGAGAGAGAGAGAGAGAGAGAGAGAGAGAGAGAGAGAGAGAGAGAGGAGACCCCCATGGTGCTGTGATTTGAATAAACAAACAGGCGGGCTCGGAGCGGTACCTCATCCAGCGGACTCCTGGGACGGTAGAGAATGACCTCAGACTCTGAAACATCTGAGGGATCTACACATCTGAGGCCGCGGCCCCTGTAGACCACCAGCTAGACATCCCTCCTCTGATTTCAGAAGGAGGAGCGACTGCTCTCCAGAAAACTCCTCGGACAGAGAGGGAAGACCTGTCTATTCTTCTTGGATCACTCTGAAGGTAAGAGGTTTTACTGCTCTGTCGCTGTCAGGGATTTTTACTTTAGCTGAGGTGAAGACATTCAGCCCGCTGTGGCAGATTCAATTTCATGGCTGTCGGTCGGACAAGATGCACCTCATCTTTGCAACACTGCACCGATGGTCTATTTAACTTCAAATAATGTGCTTTAACAACTCAAGACAACTTCTGTTTTTGTTTTCCTGTGTGACTTTGCTGGTCACAGGTAATGAATCTCTTCTGGAGGTATTTGTTCCCACATACTTGATTGTGTACAAACGAGGAATTACAATGCGAAAGAGTGTGAGCAACCTGTTCAAACGTCAACACAGTGATGGGTTGCATCTCTGTACATAGACACCTTGTCATTCTTCACATAGCACAACTTTAACAGTGTTTATCTTCTCACCGAGAGAATACGTTCGACACAGTATCCCATGGTCTCCAACACACACACACACACACACACACACACACACACACACACACAAACACACACACACACACACACACACACACACACAGGGTTTTATAGCCCTGGCTGTTTGTATGCACTCCACTTTGTGCTTCACTGCTAAAGAGCTCGTTTATACAACGCTCTTCAGTCACCCCGAGTGAACCGGCGGTCCTCACCAACCATCCGTCTCTTTCCTCCCCTGTGAACGGCCCTCAATCGTCTTTGCGATGCTCCTTGGAGATGCTTATTGCAGAGCTGTGGGGTGTCACTGGACCCGGCATCCTTTGGATCTCCTTTTAGTGGTAACACTGGCAGCCTAAATATGGAACTGCCAGTGTTATCCCCTTTGTGACTCTTTACTGTTCTCTGAGCCTCCCCATTTCCCTGCTTTGAAGGGCTGCTGGGAAGTTGTTGGGTTGGTTAACTGTACATCCATCCGCTTTATACAGATGACCTTTATTATAAGGGGACATCTGAATTAGCATAAGCTGTAATCAAAACAACTCTGGCATGTGTTTGGTGTCTGCTGCTCTTCTCCTCCTCCTCATCCTTCCTTTTGAAGTTTTTGATCCTCTGTGGATATTTCGGTTCAGGCATTTTCTGGTGAGCTGTCAGAACGTTGCATGCATGTCATACTTTTACCATTAACGGTATTAGACTGTATTCCACAGTTTCACCGCCAGCTGGATGTCTCCCGCTGAACATTTCACAGCACCACCTTAAGAACAGAGAAGGCACTCTGACAAATCTTTGTAACGTGGATCTGTGAAACATAGTAAAGTTTAATTTGTCTCCTGACCCGTGGGGATTCCTTACCCTGTGCGCCAGACCGCTGGTATGCACCTCAGCACAGCTCCACTCCTCTGGCCTCGACCTAATCCCTCGTCATCAGCTGTTTCCTGGCTCTCCGCATGCCATTCGCCCATGAGAAAATGTGCTTCAAATTATGACCATGCAGAAAACATGCCGGCAGTCTGATTTGGCTCACATGTGTGGATGTGTAACAGCCTGAGCTTGGCAGCGTGTTTTTGAAACACATTGATCCCATTCTGTCCTTGTGTGATTCATTGCTCGTGACATGGACACACACCTGTTCAGCCATCGTGCCCGGAAGACCAGTGAGGCTTTGTTTACATCTGGATGAAGTATGGAGTTTGGAGTCTTTTCAGATACAGCGGCCTCTGAGTCACTTATTGGGTGATTCATAATTCATTCTTCATACTTGTGAGCTGAGCTGTTCTCTCTTTGGAGGTCCAGTGGTCTACATGGATCGAAGAGGCCCTCGCTAATAGATCATTGTGCTTTGACACTCATCATACAGCTTTAATGATCAGAACTAAGTAGTGGTGTGATACAGCATCCTGTACGGCTGCACGTCCATCTGGCCTCCCCCTCATTCCCTCCTTCTCTCCCTCCCTCCCACTCACATAAAGCTGACAGGCAGCTGCATCTCCTCTCCAGCCAGAGTTTACGTCCACCCCTGCAGGACAACTCCGGGAGGAAGGATTTCTTTTTGAATTGTACATGAAAATGAATTTACTCAAATAAAAGAGAAGGGAATAATGTTCCACTGCTTATACTTCTCTTTTCCCTCTCTTTTAGCTATTAATGTTCATTAACAAAACCTGCAAACACAAAGCCCTTCTACTGTATGTTCACGGTCACACTTTTCTTTAAGTTTAAAGGATTTATATCATTTATAACTAATATTGACCATTCAAACTTTAAGTTGAGTACCGCTCATTTAGTCGTGAATATTTCGTGACATACAGAATTACATCAGCACCTTTTAAACTTGCCAATAAAGACGTTATTTCTAGTTTCTTTAATCCGTATGAAGAACTAAGTGCAAAAAGGACAACTTGCCAACGGTCCGTAGCCAACTGTCTCCCCCAGTTTCCAGTCCAAGTATTAAAGTAAGCCGACTGACAGCTGGCTCCAGCTTCATTTTTAGCAATTAGACATGGGAGTATTGATCTTCTCATGTATTTGACAACATTTAAAACCAAGTAGTTTTGCTTGAAATACAATATTTTTATACACTGGCATTATTACTTTTAGACTCCTTATTTACACATATAACGTTAAAGGATATGCAACTGAATATGGAAAAATCCAGATAAGGGTTAACTAACCCTAACCCTTAAGCAGGAAGTTGCGGTCTCCACCAAATTCTTTTAAACATCGCTTAATCTCACTGGAGTTTGTGTTGTCCAACACAAACAAGCTTGAATTGCCGATTCGGTGAAGTTAGACATGAGGTAGAAATAAAAAACAGCCTTTGCTTTTACAAGATACAATCATTTCACACAATGGAATATGGGGGCTTTACAAATTCATCTCATGGTTTTGTGCTATTTTTATGGAAAGTACGAACATCATTGAGCATAGAAAACAACAGCCAAGTGAGCAATTCCAGGATTGTTTTACAGCAAGTGTCAAAGATAACATAAGTTAACTCCACACGTTGGATAAATTATCACCCAGATTGATGCTTCTCTGTCCGCCCCCCTCCCCCTTTGCTCTTTCTTACAACACAATAAAGTCCAGGGAAACCAGTGGAATTTAAAGCCAGTCTGGCCTAATTGTGTTCAGCTGTTTCTGTTTCTTTCCTTCGGGGGTGCCGCAGTGAAGGCTGCAAGCGTGTGTAGGCGTCCGCCCGTTTCTCATGGGGGAACGTTGGGGGGCTCGTGCCCTCACGTGTTAGTGTGTTCGGCCGGTGCGCAGGAAGAAGGAGGGAGCGGAGTGGGAGGATGTGGCGCTGCTTATGCCAGCAAATCTATCTGATGTCCCTGTATTCCTTATGAGCAGTTTGAGCACACATATAATTACCTCTCTGTTAGTAAACCAAAGGCTTGCTGCTCAGGAAAACGGGAAAAATGAACACAACTTCAATGACTGCTTTAGTTTTTTGACATCTTAATTATTTTTCCATCATTTAGTCCTCAAGTGAGTAGAAAATTAGATCATCAAACTGAAATCAAACACTTGCCACATCAAAAGCTTTCATTGTACAACCGTCAGTTTTACCCAGAAGCCCTTTAGATCTCCCCCCCCCGCCGCCACTACAAACAGCATTTACAACTCTGTTTGAGCGGGAGCAAACCGAAGTCCACAGTTTCCCAAACATGTGCAGCCTCAGCATGAGCAGAGTCGCTGTGTTTTGTTGAGTAAAGACTGCTCATAGTAACTGTGTCTCGATACTGAACCAAATGAAACCAGGGCGAGTTTCACAAACAGGAAGAATGACTTTTCGAATGCACCTCTCAGTCTGATATTGCAAACTCGAGATGGCTCAAGTGCAGCTTCAAGCTCTAAAGTTACAACAACTACTGAGAGATGAGATGTGAAAGATGAGATGTGAGAGATGTGAGAGATGAGAGATGTGAGAGATGAGATGTGAGAGATGAGATGTGGGAGATATGAGAGATGTGAAAGATGAGATGTGAGAGATGAGATGTGAGAGATGAGATGTGGGAGATATGAGAGATGTGAAAGCTGAGATGTGAGAGATGTGAGAGATGTGAGAGATGAGATGTGAGAGATGAGAGAGATGCGAGAGATGTGATGTGAGAGATGAGAGAGATCTGAGAGATGAGATGTGAGAGATGAGAGAGATGAGAGAGATGTGAGAGATGAGATGTGAGAGATGTGAGAGATGAGATGAGAGAGATGTGAGAGATGAGATGTGAGAGATGAGAGAGATGTGAGAGATGAGATGTGAGAGATGAGATGAGATGTGAGAGATGAGATGTGAGAGATGTGAGAGATGAGATGTGAGAGATGAGATGAGAGAGATGAGAGAGATGTGAGAGATGAGATGTGAGAGATGAGATGTGAGAGATGAGATGTGAGAGATGAGAGATGTGAGAGATGAGATGTGAGAGATGAGAGAGATGAGATGTGAGAGATGAGAGAGATGTGAGAGATGATATGAGATGTGAGAGATGTGAGAGATGAGAGAGATGTGAGAGATGAGATGTGAGAGATGTGATGTCTGAGAACTCACAAACTAGAAGGTTGTTGTATCTCTTTTTATATCATTAAAGATGGATTATTATGATCCAAACACAGGCTTAATTAGACTGCACAGATTTCCTGTTTACAGTAACAGGTTCTGACAGCAGGTTGACAGGATGGGGGCTTTCCCAGCTGAAAGTGCCTTTTACTCATGAGTTTCGGCGTCATTACTCCATCTCTGGTAATTCACGGTACATGTGTTAACCGTGTTAGGGGACGGCGGGGTACAGGGCAGCGTGGGTCTGCTTCTGAGGGACCAGAAGGTTTTCCTCGGGGGGGTTGTTCTGTCTTGGAGGAGTGCTAAAAAAAAAAAAAGTTTGTTTTAACTAAGACATTCCGGGTCATTGTTTTCCCACAGAGCGCGCCGGAATCTGTCAGGAAAAAACAATCACCCCTCTAAAACCAAAAAAAAGAAGAGTATTGCACGTTGATTCATTCTGCATTGCAGCTATTCTAGTGGCATGATTTAGAATAGCTCCTAATAAAGTGGCAGTAACAGACTGTCTGATGTGAGCTGTAACTGTTTGCATTGGAAAGAAGACACCGCTAAATATGAGATGTTTGTTTTGGAGATCACAGCTTCCTGGGTCCTTCAGCAGAGTAAACATCACACTCGCTCTGCTCTCTCACTCCGTGCTTTGATGTGACTTTTTCTCTAAATTGTATTCTGTTTGGCTGCATGCTGCCTTTGTCGTCTTTTCCACTGTCTGGTGCTGTGTGCAGTCCTCTTGTGGTGTGTTGATGGTTTGTCATCCTTTGTCATTGCTCTAATTGCTCTGTTTTTGCATGTTGATTGTTTTTCTTTCTTTTTCCTTTGTTTTTGTTTTTCCCCTCATTCCTGAGTGTGACTATGCATGTTTTATGTGCAGCTTGTTATTCAAAGCAGTTTTTCTCCTTGTATAAGTGTCATTGTGTGCAGATCGTCATGGAGGCATCCCGTGTTGTCTCCATGGGTATTTGGTTAGTGTCACTGATGCATTACAGCCTTACACCCACACACCCATACAGGAAGTCAGAGCTCTCCAGCTGCACTCAGGCCTTTTGGATGTCTTTCTCTTTTCTTTTTTTTTCGGTTATAGATTACAGCCGCCCCACACCCCTTTCTTTCTCCTTCTAACTGCGACCCCCTTGGGACAAGCTTGAGCAAATAGTTGGCTGCAAGTGGGGTTCACGAAGCAGTTCCCACCTCATCCAGGAGTTCTTTATCACTGCCAGATGTTAAAATAAAACACGCAGCTACAGTATATATAGACAATCTCGGAAGTGGGATTACAGGCTGCAGTGGGGTTGCGTGGGCCGCCCGTGTCCCGCTGAGGTCCATTTTGGCATTCTTCCTCATTAGCCTGTGACACATAGAGTGTAGCAGCTTGTTTATCGAAACAAGGCAGGGTCAATCAGCCACCAGATTCCCAGCATCTGTGGGAAAAGGTCTGCAGTGGGATAGTTTATCCATCGTAGTGATTACTGCGCCACTGCTTACATAAGGACTTTTTGATTTGGACCTCCACGGTCATTGCAGGACTGGAGTGTCCCATTTCAAAGATAGCAAAGACAACAACTAACATGTGTGTTAGGAAAATGTTTTCAGATCCTTTCATCTAAAAGATGATCCGAATGAGATTCACTTTACTCATGGATATAATAACTGTTTATTTCTGTAAATTGCCTCAACCACCACTCTGTTGTCTACTTTTGGTTTTAGTGGCCATCATCCAGCTTTAATAAGTGAGAAAGGAGTCGCTGAGATGCTGCCAAGTCTTCCTGGAAGGTTCACTGGTGTCCAGACAACAAAGGACCACAAAACAGCCATTTCTTTCTCAGATGCTTTCAAAACTTCCCATAAGTGTCTCCTTGCACCAAGACTATTACTTTTAAAGTCCTGATATTAGCATGTTCTTAAATCTGGGAGCAAATCTTGCTTATAGTGTTCATTCTCCAAACTCTGGCTCCCTTTGGCCCTCTGATCCTAGTCAGCACATCCTATTTTAAGGGTCCGATTCCTTCTCTGTTCATGGGTCAACATGGAACCTCATCGTGTTGCAGTAGCCAAACATTATTTTTCCGTCCTTTTCAAAGACTCCAAAATAATATTTGAACAGACTGAGATTCTTGTTCAGTTTTCTGCTGAATGTATATCCTGCTGCAGTTATCTAATGTTTCTCTTTGGCCGTGGCAGAAATAGCACCGGCAGCCATTTACGAAATCATGTGTTGGTCCTCGTTCTGCCAAGTACTGGCCAAGCGCATCTGGCTGTTGTCGCTCAAAAGGCTCATCCCCGACAGCGAGGCTGCTGGTTCCCATAAACTCTGATGTGTGGCTTCCTCAGTAAACGTTCCCTCCGTGCCTGTTGCTCGGGTCCACAGGGATAAGGTGAACCCTCCCCCAACCCCCCCCACCCACCCTCGGCCCCGGCGTCATCACTAGCAGGGTCCCAAGTGTATCTGCGGTCCTGGGAAAGTTGCAGAAGGGTTCTGTGGGAACGTGAACTGTACAGTGACACTGGTGACAAAGAGGGTAAGAGGGGGGGGGGGATCTGTGTGTGTTGGGTGAAGGAGACAGTCGGGTTGAAGTGCAACGCAGCGCACGCCTGTGTGAGCAGTGAGTGTGCTTTAGCGAATGCATTATGCAACGATGTGGTCTCTCTATCTCTCTGTCTTCCGCAGCTTCACCCTTTTTTTATTGGAACCAGGAGGCGAGGGAGGAAATGCATCATTCGCGTTTTTGAAGCAACTCAAGAGATTTTCCTTCTGGGAACGGAAGTGCCAAAGGCAGTTAATTTGGAGAGACAACGCTTATCTCTGGTTTGAATAACTGGCTTTGGGTTAGTCATGGAAATTCTTGTAGCTCCTCACCAGTGTCACTGGTCTTTCTTTACTGTTTTTCTTATAAAATGATCTCTAACTTTGATACATTCTTACGCTCTTACATGGGTGCTGCAAGGCACGTTCAGTTGATAAACAAAAAACAAACACCCCCCCTACGACTTGCACATATGAAATGTAATCTTCGAAACATTTATTACACAATGCCTGAAGATAGTCCAATTTCTTAAAATAGAGATCGTAAAAGTGGATTGCATTATTGCGGAAAGTGTTTCACAGTTTTTCCATTGCCTTTCTCCCTTATTTTGTCCTCCACCCTCGCTCTTCCCAAGCACAGCTCTTCCGCCCTCTCTCTCTTTCCCACCCTCTCCCGTACGGGCCTGTGATCCATCCTTAACAGTTTCCAGACGTCTATGTGCTGCAAAGCTTAACCCCCCCCAACCCAAACATAACAACAAACCATTCCTCCCTTCCTCCGTCTTCCCTTCTGCCTCCTTACTTGCATTGGTGGTTAATGTTCCATATGGGAGGATCAAACCAGCAAGTACTAGTGACCTTTGAGCCCAACAGCTCTTAAATAATGACAATATTACATGGGTGTACAACTTGTACAACTTGCATCCTGTCAAACTGAAGAGTACACTCCTGCGTCAGCCGCTTGTGTCAATGGCCTCATTTTCCCTTTTGTTTTCCCCAAAACCAATGAATGTCTCAGCACGGCTCCAGAATAGCTTGGATGCAGCATTGTTACCAGTGAGCGTGTTGTAAAGCTGCACACAGTGACCTGCTTGTTAGTTGGCTGGATTCTGTTGGAACAGGAACAAAAAGGACCAAACATTGTCACTCTGTCCCGGTGCAGCGAGGCATCAAATACCTCCTGAGTGAGCTTCATCTGCACCTCCATGTGCCGGCCAGAAACACACTAAAGAGAGCAGAATGTGAACACACTAAATAATATTTGTTTCCTCCAGTGCGAGTAGAATGTTTTCTTTGATTGGAAGCAGATTTTCCTGACGCGCGGGTCAGCTTCCAGCTGACGCGCGGGGGCTGAAAAAGGCAGGAATCAATCCATCATGATATGAAGCCTCCTGTGAACTGGTGGTGTCTCTTTGAGTGAACACAAACCAGCTTCTCCTGCGTTTTGTGGACAGGATGACCTGGAAAAAGGCACGACAGTTTAAAATGGGTAGATGAGGTTTAACCAGCGTTGTTATAACCTCTGTTTGCTCAGCAGAATAAAGTGCGTTGACGGCTTCCAACCATGAGGCGGGTGACGGCATCCACGCTCCATCTGACTGTCACAGTTACGGGTGAGAACTCTATTTCAATAAACAAACTAAAAATGAAAATCTGTTCCACGGGTTATTTTGCAGGGAAGCGCAGAGCACGACCAAGTTTCCCTGCAGGGAAGGGGGGAGAATTGTTTTCTTTTAACAACAAATCCAAATGAAACTTAATGAGATTAAAAGGGTCATAACTTAAAAGTTAGATTTGCAGACATGACAAAGTTATGCTTATTGAGGGGCTGTATTGTGGATGCAATAATATAGTCAACGCATGAAATATCATGAATGTATATTTTTAGATTATTTATTATCCGTCCAGCTGGCGAGATAACAAAAAGACAACAGTTGAATCGATGCAATCAAACTGACCTCAGTCATTTAAACTACATCTGTCAGTGATAAGGCATCATTACCTCCTACACATCCACCACACGACTCATATCCTTCATCATTCAGAGATAGAACAGGATCTGGCGCGCGTATTGTTGATTTAACCTTTGACCTCATACCGCTGCCAGATTGCCCTCCAATCTGACCTTCTTTCTTGTTGTGCCAACGGCAGCTCTCTTCTATTTCTGCACCGAGCTGCGTTGTCTGGAGATCACCCCCGATGATGAGGAGCTCGTCCTGGCCGAGGGTTCCTCCCTCACCCTCACCTGCTCCGGCTCAGAAGACACAAAGTGGGAGTTCAAGAGGGACGACGCGCCGCACTTCCAAGCGGAAGAACTTCAAAACGATGGTCAGAGTCACACAACCAGTGTTTTGACCTTGCACAACCTGAGCTGGAAGCACACGGGGGTGTATCAGTGCAACGATCGACACACTGGGGAAACCAAGGAGGTGGCAGTTTTTGTCCCAGGTAAGGGTTCATTTAACCAGTTTAGTGTAAAAGCTGCCTGACGGACTCACAAAGCAAAGTGACTGATTCATGTTCACTGCTAAAAAAAACAGCTGGACACACAGCACATACTCACCTGACAATAAAATGCACATGAAAGAGTTTGGAAAACAGTAAGTTGGTACTCAATAATTTGCAGCTTTCAGGATAAAAGATGAAGAAGAGGTTTTAGGACTGTGCACACATCTCTGTTTGATGTAGATAATCTAACGAGTGGTGTTTCTGTCTGCAGACGCAGATGTGTGGTTCATAAAGAGCTCACATGGCATGGTGACAAAGACCAGTGAGGAGACCACCATCCCCTGTGTGGTCACCAATCCCACCATCAACGTCACCCTGTACGAGAGGGACACCGATCTGCCCATCAGGGGGCTTTATGTGCCGAGTGAGGGGTACAAGGCACGGCTGGAGGACAGGACCTACGTGTGTCGGGGAGAGCTGGACGGCGAGGTGAAAGAGTCTCAGGACTTCTACGTCTTCAGCATTGTCGGTATGTGTCCCGCTTAAAGAGTTCGGTGGGAGAAACGATTCTTCCCAAAATAAAAAGTTGCTCAGTTTAGTTTATTTTTTCAACAACTCCATGATTGATTACGCAGCTAAGGGGACGTTTCCACACATTAAACCGTCATCCACACCACCTCTTCTCCCCCCCCCCCCACCCCATGTCCCACACACCCTCTCTCCCCCCGGGCGCAGTCCCAGAGGCCATCGACGCATACATCAATGCGTCAAAGACCATCCTGAAGCAAGGGCGAACCGCTGACAGTGAACTGCACAGTGCACGGAGTGGAGCTGATCTATTTTTCCTGGGATATCCCCAACAGGGAGGTGAGTAGGAGTGGAGCCGAACAAGCGCTTTTGTTCAGCTTCCCCTCGGTGGTCACTCTCAGGCCTCATGACAGAGCTGAATAACATCAAGATGCAGAGACACACCTTCGTTTCCATCCCCCAGTGAAATTCTACTGACAGCATGAGTATGATGGCTGCAATCTGCCGTCCCTGGAGGACTTGTTCGCTTCCAGGTCTCTGAAGCGAGCTAAAAAGATCGCGGCCGACCCCTCCCACCCCGGACATAAACTGTTTGTGCCCCTTCCATCTGGCAGGAGGCTGAGGTCCATCAGGACTACGACCTCCCGCCACACGAACAGTTTCTTCCCGTCGGCAGTCGGGCTCATCAACAGAGCCCGGTCCCCCACTGCCTGACTATAACACTCCACCGGTCACTCCCCCTCACACTGCACATGCCACTTTAACTGCAATTCATCACTTTGTCACTTGTCACTTTGTCTCTTGTCTGTTACTTGTTTGTTAGTGCACTTTATGCTTAATACTTTTCTTTTTAACTTTTAATATTTAAAATTTGTTTAACTTTATTCCCTTGTTTTTTTACTAACCCATAGCCTTAGCCTTATTCTTACTAACCCATTGCATTAGCATTTCATTCCACTTTATTTTATTACCTGTGCACTGTTGTCTTGTCTGTCTACTGTCGCGCACTAACCGCCAAGACAAATTCCTTGTATGTTTGACATATTTTGGCCAATAAATGTTTCCTGATTCCTGATTCCTGATGAGCACGAACTTTGGGATTCATTTCCACATGGAATTTTCAGCTTTTCAGATTTTTTGGGGCGTTTTATTGAAAATGATTTTACTTAAGGAGGCAGCTGGCTCATTTATGGACGCCTCTTTACGCAGATGTCGTTCCTCTTTCTTCCAGCTTGTTGTGGTCGAGCCACTCACAGAATTCCTACCTGGTACGACCATGCGCTCCTGCCTCGTCTTCCCTCGCGCCACGCTTGCCCACGGCGGATCCTACGCCTGCCATGTCCACGACAGCATCCAAGACCAGACGGCCTCTGCCAGCGTTAACGTCACTGTGCTCGGTTAGGCTGTACCCACACATGCACACCAAACCAAAACAGACTGGTGCCGGACGGATTATTATTGTAATCCGCTGACAGAGAGAAGACTGCTCAATATGTAAACCTTTACAAGTCAACGTGAAAGAGGTTTCTTCTTTGGAAGGAAATGAAGACGACTCCTATTTATTTCTGTTTCAAGTGTGAAATAAACTGCTCATATTGTGCGGATAGCTTCAAAGCGACGTGGATGGGGTGGCGATGCGGCAACTCTATATTTAGACTTTTGAGAATACACACCAAGTAATCGAGGTTTCATCATGCAGAACTTCTCCTGCTTGTCTTCTCTCGACTCAACGTGTTTGGGTGTGTGAATGCTTACTCTATCTGCAGCGAGGTGTGCTATGTTTATGAACGCCCTGAATAACGGCTCCATGAAGACAGTTTAGAGCTCGCTGGACATCTCAGAGGAAAAGACACATATATCTGGCCCCAGAAGGTCACAGCGGACAGCAGCAGTACAGTAGTGTCTCTATCCGGCCATCCGGTGAAGCAACTGAAATAGAATCAGTTATATAACTGGGCTGCTAAATGATTTTATATCAACAATGGAGCACATGACTAATTGAAAGATCGCTCATGCTAAACCAATAAAACAAACATCTTGAGCAGAACATCAAGTGCCTGACATTTACATTTACAATCTCATTTTCTTTCTTCAGAGCGAGGCTTTGTCGATGTGAAGACTGCTCGGAAAAACAACATTTCAGCGAAGCTGCAGGAGAACGTGGAGTTGAGAGTGGAGATTGAAGCCTACCCGCCACCTCAGGTCCGTTGGAGCAAAGAAGGCGTCTCAATCAAGAGAGATAGAACCATCACAACCAGACGAGATCATGAGATCAGGTAAAACATTCAGCCAAACATACTAAGGTCACGGACACACCATGGAGTGATTAAGGATCTCATACAAGTTGATACATTTAGATAATTAGCTGAGGACCTCCGTCCGGGTGGCGGCCTCCGGAGGCGCCGCGCTCCCGTCAGTCATCACCAGATAAGGCCTCCGCAGAGAGAAACACAATACTCTCTGGAGGGCGGGACTCCAATCATTCATCACAGGGGAACCATAAACACAAGACTCCTGTCACAACTCACAAATCTCCTTCTGTAAAATGCCCAAAATGGCGGCAGGACCGTGTATTTTTGTGCGACACACAGCTAAAGTGAAAACATCATCCACATGATCAGCTCACAGCTGGATGAGTCAAACACCACCACGCTACTCTACTTTTACTTCTATTTACTGGATTTAAACGCCAATTTACAATTTGTCTCACTAATTTCACTTGAAATAAATCTTGAAATTAGTATCCAGACATAGTGGAAACATACTTTATTAACAGAGAGAGCGTGACTCTATGTGAAAGATAAACAGAGGCCTGTGCAGCTGTCTGTTGCATGTAAATCAAATCAAATCTTCGGCCTCTTGGCAGTCATTTTTTTATACATCCACCAATCCAATTTTTCATCCCCTTGGAAAGGATGTTAGGCAGCTCATACATTTAACGGGAAAAGGGCAGAGAATATTCATATTTGTATTTCCTCTCCTCCTACCTCAGCTACGTCACTGTGCTCACCTTGGTGAGGGTGAGGAAAGAGCAGAAGGGACGCTACACTGTTCTCGTCACAAACGGAGATGACACAAAGGAAGTGACCTTTGACCTGGAAGTGCAAGGTGAGATGCTGTTTTAAGCACCATCACAGCCTACAGGGCATTTCGAGACGCCGACGGTTTGAAAGTGCACACGAAAAACTATCAGGGCAGAATTAATATTTTTCATGATTAATGACCATTACACCGCCCAATGTGTAGTTCCCTCTCGGATTAAAGACCTTACTGACCACCACCTCCCTGGGAAAAAACATTTGGTGACCTGTGTGGCCGAGGGGGTCCCAACCCCGACCATCCAGTGGTACAGCTGTGACAGCGTGCACCAGTAAGTCTCCCATTTGCCGTTGAACGCGCAACAAACACGAGATGGCCGACCACTCACAGAAAAATAATTTGACTGTGAAATTCTGTGAGTCTGCTTTGACTTCCTTTGAGTCTTTTCGCTGACGTCCGTGTCCTGCTGCAGGTTCAGCAACCAAACAGCAGTTTGGCATCCACTGGTACCGGAGGCCGGGGTGCTGAGCATCCTGACCAACGTCACCTACAGCGAGACTGGTAAAACCAGCCAGGTGCGGAGCCAGGTGACCTTCCACCAGCCGCAGCAGGTCACAGTGCGCTGCGAGACCAACAACCAAGTAGGACTCATGGACAGACGGGACGTCAAACTGGTGTCCAGCAGTAGGTGTCATGAATGAGAGTTTCTCATTTAAGTGTTGATATGAAATTAAATCTCATTTGGTTAAAAAATAATGTAAAAACATGGTGAACCAGACAAAGTCTGAAAGTTACAGGACGAGGTTTCACTAAACAGTGAATAATGTGTGATGTGTCTAATCTTTTAGTATCAGTCAGCTTGATTTACAAAATCATTGCCGGCATGTTTGTAGGAAGACGTTTTATGTTACAACCTTCTCTTCGTCTAATGCTGTGTCATCTTGCCTGTTGCAGCGCTGTACTCCCAGGTGGCAGTATTGGCTGCTGTTTTAGCCTTAGTGGTCATCATTATCATCTCCATCATCATCCTCATTGCTCTATGGAGAAAGGTGAGACACTAAGTTACGAACTCAACCATCCATATTTTTTGTATCTTTCACTCATCTTTTGTCATCAAAAAGTGGATTCCATTCATTTTGGTGTTTCAGTTTTGCTCTTATGTGTGTGTGTGTGTGTGTGTGTGTGTGTTTGTCCCTGCGTCTGTTGTTAGAAACCTCGCTATGAGATCAGATGGAAGGTGATAGAGTCCGTGAGCCAGGACGGTCATGAGTACATCTACGTGGACCCCATCCACCTGCCCTACGACCTGGCTTGGGAAATGCCACGAGACAACCTGGTGCTTGGTGAGTCCTCACGAGGGGACCTGCATTTTTGTTAAAATAAACACATGTGAACTTATTGACACGTGAACGTTTTTTTTAGATGAAATGTAAAAATAGTATTTTAGAAATGAATATGATTCAATCTTTGTCTTTAATTGCTCTTGTTTTTACTAAGGTGTTGTCATGGTAACTGTAACCCAACTAAAAATGTGAGCGTGAGTTCACTCAGTTCATCTCAGACTAAAATGAGTTCAGGGGGGCGGCCGTGTTGCTGTGAGGAGTTTGGGGTGTTTGGGTCGTCTAGGCGTAGTTGAGGCTGGACTACTAAGTGATGTTTGTTAAAGTCTTCTTGGCTCTAATCCTGCCTCATTTTTAAAGCTCTTAACCTTTGGACGATGTGTTATTCGCAGTCGGTTGCTTTGCACAAACAGGAAGCTCCACGGTCAGACCTGCTCTCAAGAATCAATTATGATCCGCTCAAACCACTTAACAGAGAAATGAATTAGCGTTGATTTTTTTTAATGAACAGCGGGGACGTTGCTTCTGTTCTAGGTCCACCATGTGCCCCATTCACATTCTGTCCCACTGAGCCGCTCTTTGTGTTCCAGGTCGCACTCTTGGATCGGGAGCTTTCGGCAGGGTGGTTGAGGCGACTGCGTACGGTCTCACTCATTCCCAGTCCAGCACAAAGGTGGCTGTGAAAATGCTGAAATGTAAGACATACGATGTAAAAAGCACAGTCTAAAGCCATGAGCGTAGCTGACAGCTACTGTGCCGTATTCCTGCGAGCACAAAGAAAGCAGAAGCCTGCTGAGCTTTAGTGTGGTTGCCAGCCCGGGTCATTGAGCAGTTTGTACATTTCTCCTGTTGTCATTCTTTCACACTTTGATCCATCTCTCTCTCTCTGTCTCTCTCTCTCCATCCAGCCACAGCCAGGAGGAGTGAGACGCAGGCTTTGATGTCCGAGTTGAAGATCATGAGTCACCTGGGACCTCACCTCAACATTGTCAACTTGCTGGGAGCTTGCACCAAACACGGTGAGCTGGACTGTGCTAACACACACAATAATTAGGTCATTTTATCATAGCATTTTATATTATTACTTTATAAGTAGCTTTTTCAGGCAAAAGATTTTCTGGTGGTTTTGATGTAACTCTTTTCTTTGTTGTAAATACATTTTTTCATTAAAATATCAAAGTTTGAGTAAGTATGATTGGTGATGAAGGTGGACCATTGAAATTAACTAATTAACATGATTTTAACAAAATGTATTTCCATATAAGGTCAAATAATAATAAATAATGTATACAACGTATACAAATTAATTAACTCATTTTGATCTTGATTCAAAAAAGCTCATTTCAAAAGCTTTTATTTTTTTAAATCAAAAGAATAGGTATGTACTGCCTATAGGGAAATTAAAGTTTTGTAAACTCAAAATGTTTACCACCAATTAGGCCCCCTGTATTTGGTGACCGAGTACTGTCGCTATGGCGACCTGGTGGACTACCTGCACAGGAACAAGCACACCCTCCTGCAGTGTCAAGCAGAGAAGAACCAAGACGACGGCTGCCTCATCTCTGGAGGAAGCACTCCGCTCAGCCAGAGGAAAGGGTGAGAAGAACAAATGTATACGTATTCCTCACACTCAATTCAAAATTCCCCATGGGATCAAATGGAGTTTATCACAATGCATCCTTTTACACGTTGTGCATCCAGCTACGTGTCCTTTGGGAGTGAGAGCGACGGAGGATACATGGACATGAGTAAAGATGAGCCCACCATCTACGTGCCCATGCAGATGGAGCAGATGGACAACATCAAGTACGCGGACATCCAGCCTTCTTCATACGAGTCGCCGTACCAGCAGGACATCTATCAGGAACAAGGTTTGATTTGCATGTCTACTATTGATTACGCGTAAAATATTTTAAAATTCAGTTGTAAATACAACTAAGTATGAGGAAACAAGGATGAATGATATGCAGCATGATGGGAGGCCAATCACTAAGCATCCTCCTCATTGGTGTGTGAACTGTTAATCGGTAGTCTAGAAATAGTCCATTTCATGAACACATGCATTGTTTTCGCCTCGTAAATCAATGAATCCAACTTAAATTTTCTCTGGTCTTTGATCAAAAAGCACATACAAATGTTACAGTACATGAAGGGCTTAAGCTTAATTTCCGGCCATGCAGTCACAAGACAGCCGGAGTTCCCCGAGCAAGACAAGGCCTTCATTCATCAGATGTTACTCACCTTCTCCTCCTGTCTTTGTGTTCAGGTGGCAGCAGGTTGGAACTGGCCATCAGTGACTCCTCCATTCTCACCTACGACGATCTGTTGGGCTTCAGCTATCAAGTGGCCCAGGGGATGGAGTTTCTCGCCTCCAAGAATGTAGGACATGAGAAATATTGATGCATTATATTTAGATGGAGATATTTGATTCAATATAATTCTAGATTAGGTGACTGTTGTTTCAATTGAAAGGGATAGTTCCACATGTTTACCACCTGAGATCTGAAAGAGGAAACATATACCACGATCATGCCTGCAACCAGCACCTTTACAAGCCATGATTGAAGACTTTAATTCACCTTGATTGTGTTCGACCACAGTGCGTTCACCGTGACCTCGCTGCCAGGAATGTTCTGATCTGCGAGGGAAAACTGGTGAAGATCTGTGACTTTGGCCTGGCCAGAGACATAATGCATGATTCCAACTACATCTCTAAAGGCAGCGTGAGTGACAAAACCGTTATGTTTTAGAAAATACGCATTATGCAAACTCACTTTTTTATGATTTAATCTAACCAATAATAAGCTAAATAAAATGCTGCAAATATGATCATCGGCAATGGTAGCAGATAAGTGCACAATATATTATATATCTAACCTGTTTAATTGTCTAATGTCTAACTTCTTTCCTTCAGACCTTCCTGCCCCTGAAGTGGATGGCACCAGAAAGTATTTTCAATAATTTGTACACCACCCTGAGTGACGTGTGGTCATACGGCATTCTTCTTTGGGAGATTTTCACTCTAGGTCAGTCCAAACACACATATTTACACATAGTAACACAAAAGAAATACGTTAACCAAAATCCAACTGGTAAACACACAAGAGGGATTTATCTCCTTTACTTGCTTGTGTAAGTCACACAACAAAGATGTCACCTGCTTGACGCCCCGATTTCTGGTGAACTGAAAATGAAGACATAGTGACAAAAATAAAATGACAAAGCAAATTTAAAACCTCAGGTCTGATCCTGAACCTCATAAAGCACAGTCATGCTCTGAAATCAGTATTTCCTCTTAAAAAAACGAAGAAGAAAAAAAACAGTCTTCCCAACGATTTTGGAAGCTACCATGGAAACAAAGGAGACAGTTTATTGCATCGGCAGCTAAAAACAAACTCACAATCCAACCTCTGTAAATAGATAACCAAAGATTTTCCGCGCTTCCCCATCAGAATCAGAATTTTTTCAGATCTTTTTTTCTTTACAGATCAGCATCTCAATGACAGCTGGAATAATTTGGCCCAGTTCTTAAAATAAATGTGTATGACTTTAGACTTGTGATTTTTCTAGTCTTCTACTTTTTGGATCATCGCCTAACTGGAGGCGTTGTCATTCGCCGGCTATGAAAAATTGTAAAAATTCAGATGCATCTTGTGTTTGACGGACCTCGAGCTGGTGATCCACACTTTTATTAATGCAACTCCCTCTACAACGTGACCTGTGAAGCTGCGCTTACCGCTTACGGCTGGTTCAACATGCAGCTAGCAAGTTATTGTAACCAGCCGACGGTCCCACGTGATCCGTATTCATCCCTCCGTAGGCTTACAGTGTAATTTATGTTGTTAATTGTGTACACGACACAGCACGTACTTGCCCACAGTTACTTTTATATTGTCCTTGTGCCGTTATCTTTTCTGTTTATCTTTTACGGTTGACAAAAGCTAATGAAACCTTCACTGTTTGTCTGTTTATCTGTCCATCTATTTGTGTATCAAAGTTGCTGAATGTTTGAATTTCATAAAACTTGCCTGTCATCTCTGACATCCGTCCGTCTCTCACTGTATTGTCATCTATTTTTTCGCAATGTGACTTGAGTTCTTCCTGCAGGAGGAACCCCTTACCCCGACTTGCCCATGAATGAGTTGTTCTACAGCGCTCTGAAGAGAGGCTACCGGATGGCCAAACCTGCACACGCCTCCGATGAAGTGTGAGTCTCGTCGTAACCTTAAACACAGACTGCATGTCGCCTCTCCTCTAACTCAGACATGAAATTGTAGAATAAGAAATGAACTGCACGTTGTCTCGGTTGCAGTTATGACATCATGAAGAAGTGCTGGGACGAGAAGTACGAGACGAGGCCCGACTTCTCCCGTCTGGTGCACAGTGTTGGGAACATGCTGGCAGACAGCTATAAAAAGGTACATCTGCAGCTTCTGACCTGTGAGCTTGGACTTTCTCTACACCGCGTATTCTTAATCTTCAAATGGAAGAACATCTCATATCTTCACTCTGAAACCTGAAGTTTAGAAAACTTGAACTAATAATCAAACAATTTCCCCCCCTGGCAACAGAAATACAGCCAAGTCAACGACAACTTCCTGAAGAGTGACCACCCGGCAGTCGCCCGCACGAAACCCAGACTCTCCTCCCCCTTTCCGATCGCCAACCCGGCATTCGGCACTCCACCCCCACAATACGCCCCCCCGGACCCCTACAACCAGAGCGCCGGGGAGTTCAGACAGGAGGCAGACTCACAGGAAGTCATAACCTTATACAACGAATACATCATTCCCATCCCCGACCCCAAGCCGGAGGACGTTTTCCCCTTCGGGCCGTCAGAGAGTCCTGCAAGGTACGGAGCCGCTGAAAAGGATGCTGCAGATGAATGAATCAAGGATGCTTAATAAGAGCTGCGCTTTTGTTTCAGCAAACACCCACACATCCAGATGATGAGCTGAAACACAACAGCTGCATTATGGCACCAGAGATAAACAATCAAAGGAAGGCTAAATGACCGGCCCGGTGCAAAGAAATCCAGATATCTTTACATATAGAAATATAACTCATCGTAAACTTGGATATTAGATATTATTTAAAATGTATGTTTAAAGACTTTGAGAGTATCAGTGGATTCCAACCCTGTCTTTTGGATTTTGGCAGCGATTGCACCTTAGACATAGTGATTTGGTTTCGAGGTGTTTCGGTGTTGGCGAGGAGCTTTACGCAGACACATGGGGAGGATGACATGAGCACGTCAGGCAGTATATCACAAGAATAACAATTTCCAAGCGTCAGGTTTCTAATTTTCCTAAAAATTATATGTTTCAATTACTTATTAAAAGAGTCAGGCGCCTTCTATTTCGTACTTTCAAGACAATTGAGTTATTTAGCGTTTTAAACCGTTACTGCTTAACATAAAGAGTTGAGAAGTGCTCACACTTATTTTATTAATTCCTGAGAAAAGAAGAGATCAATCTGGCAGCAAACTGGTTCTAGACCAGCTGTTCGGTGCGTGTTCAAACGAGTACACAAGAACTACTCATCATTTCTCCAAAGAAAGAACCGCATTGGAAAAAATACGGAAGAACAAAGTTTTTAAATGTTCTCAAGTGTTTTCCTTTTTTAGGTGTGACTCGTTGTTGCTTGAAGGCAGATAAAAAGAGGAAGGAGGATATCAGGATTTTGTTATAAACACTAATAAGTACAGATGGTGTTGTGTTCTCTATGACTTTAATGTGACTGAGCTCACAATGTGAAGTTGTGTTTGTCCCCCCTCAGCTCTCTGGCTCTGGAGGAGGAGACTGACTCCATGTCTCAGGACACTGCAGACACTCTCCCAGAGGAGGACCGGCTGGAGGAAACCAGTGAGAGAGACGCCCTGTTGGGTTTTTCTGGGACACCCGAGGTAGAAGACAGCTTCTTGTAGCCACGTAGGAACTCTGAGGAAACGACCCTTTTTCTGGTATCTTTTTTTTTTTTTAACCCTGTGAGAAAGCAAACGTGACTAAAATAGAATGTAGCAAAATTGAAGTCGAGATGGAAAACTTTGTATTTCCACTAAGCACTCAAAATGTTTTGCCCTTCCTTTGAGTTTTGTATCAAACTTAGTACCTCTGAAACGAAATGGGAGCAACTGATGAGCCTGATCATTCAGTCATTTATCGGACAGTTGCCATATCATAAATACAGTACTCTCCTCGTAATCTGCAGAGAATCAGTTTCAAGCAATGTGTTTGTATTGTGAACAGGGACTCATGAAATATGTGCATTCCTAATTCATTTTTACACAGCTTAGTTTAGCCATACACAGAATACAGTCCAATCAAAAACAATGTGTAATAGTTCCCGTAGTGGTGGCAATTATTAACATTATATAATAGACCACAATCAGCCATGGAATGTATGGAAGTGAATTTAAACTGTTTTTTTGCATATTTTTCTTAAGGACGTGAATTACAGACATGCACTGTTTTACTATGAAAACTATTACTTACATTTGTGCCAGACATTTTTCTTTTTCTTGAGAATTATATAAAATCTGTCATATGTGAATTTTAAATACTTTTTTTTGCATAGTTTTTATTCATAGCTGTGTCAGATTTGCACTTTTTTTTAGAAAAATGTGGGGATTCATAATGAGGATATAAATATACACTAAAACATAGATTCAGAAGTTCCACTCGTCACTTAAATGTTTTTACTTAAACATGTGGCTGTTACGGTAAATCAATTTCTGTGGTGACAGGTGACTCTCAAGGGAAGAACAATAAATACAGCGTATCACTGCCTTAGCACCAGATAGCACATGAGTGTCTTTGTACAGACTGACCCATATTTGCCTCCCAGCTACGGATTGTCGCTCTACTCAATAAATGTAGATATTCATATGTATAGATGTAAAACCGATGCTTTTTGTGTTCTACCGCATTGTTCAGCATTCACTCGCACAACGTTTCAACTCTCAGTATTGTGTTATTGACAACTGTCCACCCTTTTAAACCTTCACGTTGTCATTTTCTGTTTCTGCAATTTAAAATGCACAAGATCACTGTATCACAAGCTATGGTACCAAAGCTCTTCTTAACGTTTACAAATGTATTTTTTCTATGTGCCAATTTGTATGTTGTTAATATGACAATAAATGTGTATTATAATCGTAGCACTTTAAGTGTCAGTCTTTTGTAATAATTTAACAGCTCTCAATTAGCTGCTATACTGTCTTTATCGATTTCTTTTCGCTGTCAAAACTGCCAAAAGTTATTATTACAAGTTTACTATTGTAGTAAACTTAAATCAAGGCTTTTCTTTCTCTTTCTAACCCTTTTTCTAACTGCTAGATCAGACTTATTTGACTTTTCTTTACTCTCCCACAAATCCAGGCTTGTAAAGCCCGGCGGCCCCGGTCCAGCATGTTGGAGGTGATTAGTCTCACCTCAGCGAATGTCTCGGGAGGATTCTGCCTTTCTGTGGCAAATTGGAACTGGCTCATTAATTTGTTGAGCGTGATGTGCTGATCCGCCTCCACACACACACACACACACACACACACACACACACACACACACACACACACACAACACAGTTCCCTCCACCCTCCACCACTTGCTGTCGGGAAAAGAAAACAAATCATGTTTGCTGTGAGACTTCAGCGGGTGAAGGGACTGTAAACAAGCTGAAGGGAGAGGAAGGTCAGAGGCAACCAGAAAGGGAAGAAGGGAGCTGTGGATGCTGGAACCATCACAGCCTGCCGGGGAGCGATCACAGCACGGCCCCTTTGTTGGACTGAAGACATCTGCAGGTGAGTACTTTTGAAATAGGTCAGTTGTGCGAGGATACGCAAGTGTACGTTGTGTTGCGTTCAGAAAGGAGAAGTTGATGAGGGGGATGACTGATGGTCAGAGACGTTTTTTCTCATTTCTCTCCCTAATGTCACAGATTAAAAGAAGAGTCTTTGGTAGCACACAAACTTAAACATTCAACCCGCAGGTGGGAGTTGATCCAGGATGCAGTCCTGCCTGGCTCTGCTGCTGGGGATCGTGGCCTCTGCTGCTTCAGGTAACAAAGAGTCACCACATATGTGGATTTAGTGGATTTTCTTCCTGTTCTGGCAGTTTTTTGACAACTATAATATATTTAAACCATCTCAAATACAACTATGTGATGAAAATACAGGCTTACTCGGAGCATACAGATGTGATTTTCTTTAATCTTTGATATGTAAAAAAAAAGGTCCAAAAGGTTTTACATTTATTCCATAAGTTACACATTTCTCTGAACCGCAAGTGACCAACTTATAAAAGTTATACTACACAGTAACATGACTTCTCATGTTTTACGCTCTATGATTTTATGGTACATTTCATGGCAGAAACTCGTGTTCAATGCAGAAGAGCTAGAAAACACTGCATGCTTCTCTAACCAAGATCCAACACACACTTTCTTTCTCTTTTCTTCCATTTTACTTGCCTCTGAACACATCATATGTGAATATCACCCATCAAGCATCAAAATGTAATTTCACGTACAGATAAAAGCATCTGTTGTTACTTATGGCTGAATGAATTACTTGTGCCTTATGCTGCTTTATTGTACGGAGTCCTGTTGAGGTTGGATGAATAGCTGATGTAGAGTATTGAACAGGGTCTTTTAAGGGAAGGCAACCGCTTGCACTGACAGCCAGGATGTTCACATCAAATATGCTTATTTGGTTCATACCTAGTTCTCGACCTTTTCTTGCTTGCGGTGGTGAATAAGAAAAATGCTAAACATAGAATCTGAGTTCTGCTTTAAGCTTCAAAACACACTGTCCAAACCTCTAAAAAGGAACTTTTATATATTTAACCGAAGGTGTGTACTTTGTTCTAAATGGGTTAGGGTTTGTTCGGGTTAAAAGGAAATACATGTCATTTTCTTCAAGGTCTTTACAGACGTGGTCCATTGTCCACAAACTTTAGAAATGATCCAACTTAGTTTCCACAAACGTCCACAATCGTCAACAAAGTCATCAAACAGAGCTTTGTTTTTCACCATTAAAACTGCGACACTCCCTGGGGAGATGAGAAAAAAAATACAACCCCCACAATACATTGAAACTGACCTCAGCTCGGACACATTGGGGCTTAAATTCAGCCTGGGACATTGAGATGTAGAAACCTTTTATGTGAGCACTGGAGGGATCAGACTGAACATTTTCTAATACTGATATAGTTTTTTCTGCCTGTTCGCATTGCCGGGGCGTTGAGTACCGACGCTGTGTGACACCTCTCGGCTTCTGACACAAACCCACAGGGCGTCCGTGTAATTATCACACCCTTAGAGAAAAATGCTTTGGGAGACTGAAGTGGTATACTGAACATTTTTACATGAGTCTATGTAAAAAAGGAGTAGAGATGTGAAAAGGGAAGTGAGATGGACAAAGGGAGTTTCTCAGGTTTGAAGTCTGGTATTTTTTTTTAGATCTGAATCATGGAACAGGCTCAGTTATTAAAACATTCAATTATTAAGTCCCACCCATAATGTGATTTGATTCATTTGTTCTCATTCCATTGCTTAAAAAAAGTCAATGACTTCTCTCATGAAATGTTCCTTCTCAGCGGAATGGAGGCGTCCGGTGATCAAGTGCAACTCTAAAGTCGCGAGTTCTGAGTTGGTGGTCCCAGCATGGGACCCCCTTGGATCTGAGGTGTGAGAGAGATGCGCCTGTGAACTGGTATACGAGGTTGGCCAAACACAGACGCTTCGTGTCCAGGGGCAACGGGAAAGTCCGCTCCTTTAGGGTGGAACGTCCCTCTGCGGAATTTACTGGAACATACAAGTGTGCTTACACCGCTGGGCCACAGCATCCCAGCGCCTCGGTGCACGTGTACGTCAAAGGTGAGGACGGATCAATGAGAGCAGAACAGTAGGACAAGCATCCTAATGTTGACCTGTCATTTTCCACGCTAGCTATGCATTTCTGTGATTGTTTAATGAATTACTTCAGTATAAATCTCACATTATTCCATTGCTCTAATGAAGCGTTGTGATACCTCTCTTAACCAGATCCAAACCGTGCGTTCTGGACCAGCAGCACGTCCCTACGGGTGGTGAAGAAGGAGGGAGAGGACTACCTGCTGCCCTGCTTGCTGACCAACCCGGCAGCGACAGAACTGGGCCTCCGCATGGACAACGGCACTTCAGTGCCACCAGGCATGAACTTTACAGTGAACCGGCACCGTGGGATTTTCATCCACAAGCTCCACCCGGGCTTCAATGCCGACTACGTCTGCACAGCCAGGGTTAACGGAGTGGAGATGATCTCCAAGGTCTTTTCCGTCTACGTCATTCAGAGTGGGTTCACTAGGTTGCTTTGAAATGGTCGTTTCAAGTGATGCATCAAGTTTGATACTCATTGATGATTTCCTGTTGCTCTAGAACTCCGTTTCCCTCCATACGTACTCTTGGAGACGGATGAATATGTGCGCATTGTTGGGGAGGAACTCAAGATTTTCTGCACAACACACAACCCCAACTTCAACTACAATGTCACCTGGAAATACACCACCAAGTCGGTCCGTACGACGTGTCTAAAGGACCTTCTTGACTGTTGTGGTAATCAATTTTAACTCAAACTTATTCTTTTTTTTTGTCTTCAGAGACCAACTATAGAGGAGAGGGTGCGCTCCAGTGGAGAAAATCGCTTGGATATACAGAGCATACTGACCATCCCCGCCGTGGACCTTAAAGACACGGGAAACATTTCCTGCCACGGCACGAATGAAGCAGGCGTGAACAGCTCAACGACATACCTGCTGGTTGTAGGTAAGCTGCAGAAACAATCGCTCCTCCATGAAGCTGCAGAAACAATCGCTACTGCATGAAAAATGTATCGACCGCTGGAAAGCCAACCGTTCTGCTTCTTCCAAACAGACAAAGCCTACATACGGCTGTTGCCACAGCTGTCTCCTAAACTAGCCCACCAGGGACTTTCAGTGGAGGTGAACGAGGGAGAAGACCTGGAGCTGACCGTGATCATCGAAGCGTACCCCCACATTACAGAGCACAGATGGCAAACCCCAACTTCTCCCAACACGTCCACACAGGAGCACAAGCTCATCAAATACAACAACAGGTACAACAAGTGATGAAGCAGAGAATTAGGCCCTTCTTCAAAGGTTTGTGTGCAAAAGCTCCAATTGGTCAGCAGTTTAAATGTAAAACACAGACAATAAAGAGTACTGTAGCAAGGGGAAGCGACGGTGGTTTTGAAATATGCTGTCAGTGCATTTTGGCTGGATTTAACATGGAACTCCAAGGTCATTATGTTTCCATACGTCACGCTAGAGAGAAGAGTGGTGTTCGCTACTCAGCGATGATACATTTGAACCGTCTGATTTCACACCACAGAATTAGTCACCTCAGATTCCTCTTTTTCCTTACTTGTTTTTGTGTGTTTTAGATACCACGCTACGCTGCAGCTAAAGAGAATGAATGCACAGGAGCAGGGAATATACACCTTCTACGCCAGGAGCGACTTGACCAATGCATCCATCACATTCCAAGTCCAAATGTATCGTAAGTGTCGTTGTAAACAAAGCTCAAATGGGGTCAAGTTCTCCGGTCAGAGCAAAATACATGTTAGTCTCTCTTTATATGTATTTTCTTCTCCTTGGCAGAGAGACCAGTTGCTGTGGTGAGATGGGAAAACATAACCACTCTCACTTGCACTTCATTTGGCTATCCTGCCCCCAGAATCATCTGGTACCAATGTTTTGGGATACGGCCTTCGTAAGTATCACCGCACTCGGAGGCGAACTTACATTAGGTTTTGGAGTCTCGTGCTTTAATTCATTTAAACCCTCAGCCGTTGGTCCTTTGCCTGACTGTATGTTTTTTTGCAATGATGCAGATGCAACGAAAACACCTCAGGGCTGCAGCTGGCAATCCCCCTGCAGGCTCCCACAGTGGAGGTCCAGCGGGAGGAGTACGGGGCCGTGGAGGTGGAGAGCGTCCTCACCGTCGGGCCCTCCAGCCGGAGGATGACGGTCGAGTGTGTTGCCTTCAACCTCGTCGGCGTCAGCAGCGACACTTTTGCCATGGAGGTTTCTGGTGAGCATCGGATCATTTCATTATCATTTGTTCCTTTTCGGGATGTGATCACAAGTGTTTTTTTGTGGAGTCACATGGTTCGCAAACTATATCTTGGTTCGTAAAATTGTGTCAACATGGTCAGCTTCCTTTGCAGTTGTTCTGAAAGGGTTGTTCCGATGTGTTGCTCCGAATTAAATAGTGAGTTGATGATCTTGCTCTGATTTTACAGACAAACTGTTCACTTCCACCTTGACTGGAGCAGCAGGCATTCTGGCCATCCTGCTTGTGCTACTGGTTTTTCTGTTGTACAAATATAAGCAGGTACGGTGAACAGCCATTAAAACATATAGCGGTCCAAGTTGTAAAATATAGTTTAGATATTTAAATATTTCCATGTGAGAGGGCTACTCTGTGGCTGTTGTAGTAGTGGTTCACTTCCTTTTGCTTGCGTTTCCATATTCAGAAACCCAGGTATGAGATCCGATGGCAGATCATTGAGGCGAGAGATGGAAACCACTACACCTTTATCGACCCCACTCAGCTCCCTTATAATGAGAAGTGGGAGTTCCCAAGAGACAAGCTCAAGCTAGGTCTGCATCATGTAATTGGCCCAACATAATCATACATTCGAAACACTAATTTGGTGAAAAATTGAATAGCGAATACAAACATAATTAAATGAAATTTGTTATATTAAAAATCCTTTCTCGTTATAATTTGTTGTCCCACCAGGGAAGATCCTGGGTGCAGGAGCTTTTGGAAAGGTCGTTGAGGCCACAGCCTACGGCCTTGGAATGGAAGACAATGCGTTGCGTGTAGCTGTGAAAATGTTAAAAGGTGAGCCAATCTTAAGACCTTTAAGATCTAACAGAGGGATTGTTTTTCATGAGCGAGTCAGAGTAACCGTCAAATCTGAAAATCCTCCAGAGAAAATTGCCCTGAGTGAAATCGTTTGTTGCATGCGATCAGATAGGATCACAATGGCAAATCAATTTTGTATGTCTGCAGCCAGCGCGCATTCAGATGAAAGGGAGGCTCTGATGTCGGAGCTGAAGATCCTGAGCCACCTGGGTCACCACAGGAACATCGTCAATCTCCTGGGAGCATGCACTTATGGAGGTCAGACAGGATCCTGCATATGCAAGTCAACCTTTGCACAAAGGACTCCAGTATACTGAAGTAATGTGCATGAAACTTGTTGAGAGGCTCATAAAATGGTGTATCGCATCTTCAGGCCCAGTGCTTGTGATCACGGAGTACTGCAGCCTCGGCGACCTCCTGAACTTCCTTCGTCACAAGGCAGAGACGTTTGAGAACTTTATTCTGAGCGTCCCTGACATTACGGAGCGCTCTAATGACTACAAGAACGTCTGCAGCGAGAGACAGTTCATCAGAAGGTACGTCAGCCAGACATCTGCAGTCTGATGACGGAGGACTTGGGAAAAACAGTCACATTTCTGACACCACTTTGTTCTCTTGTTTTCTCCATCCAACAGTGACAGTGGGATCTCCAGTACATCTTCAAGCAGTTACCTAGAGATGAGACCCAGCCAGGTTCCCAATATGGAATCATCTCCAGGTAAAACGCTTTGTAACCCCGATCCGATTTCATCATGCGAATTAAAATGATCCGCCACTTCACTTCCCTGTGGGTCACTGACATCATTCCGGTGTTATTCTTGCCAAGACTCTATGTGTGAGGAGACAGGTGAATGGCCCCTGGACATTGATGACTTGCTGAGGTTTTCCTTTCAAGTGGCTCAGGGCCTCGACTTCTTGGCTGCCAAAAACGTAAGTGATTTGTCCACTAGAAAAAGGAACTGAGTTGCATTGAGAAACAATATTCAGCAACATATTTGTCTTTTAACGGTGAGAGACAAACACTGTCTGTGTATGTGTGTGTGTCTGTGTGTGTGTGTGTTTGTGTGTGTGTAGTGTATTCATAGAGACGTGGCTGCTAGGAATGTCCTCTTGACCGACCGCAGAGTGGCCAAGATTTGTGACTTTGGTCTGGCCCGTGACATCATGAATGACTCCAACTACGTGGTGAAGGGCAACGTAAGCCCCTGAGTACATTAAAGCTAAAGTTTAATTCACATTTACCAAAAATAAAGTCAAGACAAGAAACAAAACAACGTTTGTGCTTTTTACGTTGTTCATGAAGGCCCGTCTGCCAGTGAAGTGGATGGCTCCAGAGAGCATCTTCGACTGCGTGTACACCATCCAGAGTGACGTCTGGTCCTACGGCATCCTCTTGTGGGAGATCTTCTCTTTAGGTCAGAACGAACGTGGGCAAATGTACCCCACATTTACATGTATTTCAGTGATTTGCTTGCTAAACTGACTGCGTGTCATTCGCTATCAGGCAAGAGCCCTTACCCCTGCGTGGCTGTGGACTCTAGGTTCTACAAGATGGTGAAGCGCGGGTACCAGATGTGCCAACCGAACTTTGCCCCAGCCGAGATGTAAGCTCTTCCCCTCAGCAACATAAAGCCTGTTTCATGAAAAGATGAGTGGCTGCTGCTTTTTCCCACAGATCCCTTTTTAACACTCATTTTTCCAGCAAAAGTCACCTGATTATCAGATGAGCTTCTGTATCCACTCATTAAATGTTAGCACATAGCTTATCAGATTCTTACAAACACGGGGGGGGCAACAACAAACATGTACATTTACGTCAATTTAACGATGACTGGTTTATAAAAGTAATGTTCTCAAATGTGGAACACAACAGAACAAAGATCCCTTATTTCTCTGCCAGTCTTCTGCTATTAAATCTGATGTGGTAACCTCATGAATTACTTTAATTATTCCTGATTTAAATTGACTTGCTTCGGGTTATCTCTAAATCCAAAAAAGGCCAAAGTTGACAAGCAAAAAAGTGTTTTTCCCAGTGTCTCAGAGGGCCCTAACATCTGTGTGTGCTGATCTAGCGTGGCTGACACTCCTCCCCGAGTAATTACGGAAACAGAAGAGACTGAATCTGAGTCAGGGCCTAATCATCTGTTGTTCGGCTGTGTGTCAGGCCTCAGTTCTGCCTGTTAGCCACATGATCTCACAGCAAGGAAGCCATGAAACTGCTATTTCATGGCAGCAAAATGCGACTGGAGGGGCGTGGGTTCTTATGAACGGGTCTCTTGTCAAACTGTGTCACCACCTCCATAAGCCTCCTCTTATTTTGTCTAATTTAGTGGTATGCAGTTTCTTGATTTGAACAATGTACAGTTTGGGTTAGAAACCCCCATAAAACATTTACTACCAAGGGTTTTGTTTGTTCGGTGAACTACTTTGAAATCAGTTTTGTATAAAATGGATCCCTTTTGTTTTAGCTACACGATCATGAAGATCTGCTGGAATCTGGAGCCCACGGAGCGCCCGACTTTTAGCAAGATCAGTCAGATGATAGAAAGACTACTCGGGGAACAACCTGAGCAGGAACAGGTGAGTTAGTGTGACGCAGAGCTATGTGCGTGTGCCAAAACCAGTGATGCTGCGGCCAAAGAATTTCCACAATACCCTTCTTATTCAAAGCTAATCCTACCTTAGATACAACTGATTCTGGTTTCAACAGAACTGTGAAATCAATTCCAATTATTTTCCATGGTGGGAGATTTTAAAACACACGTCTTGAATGCAAGAATTTCGTCTCGTATCACACCTTATTAACATTCACCCTCCCAATGCTGCCTCCCCACAGCTAATCTACCAGAATGTGCAGCAGCAGGTCACAGAGTGTGAAGTGAGCGACGCGCTCAAGCACTGCGACGGCCCCCGTGACCCGTCTTGTGACCGCCAGGAAGAGGGGCAGCCTCTGATGAAGACCAATAACTACCAGTTTTGTTGAAAGCCCTGCCGATCAATGAGTAAATGAATAAATCCACGATCATCAGGAGGGTGGAATCAGCTGTATATTTGTGGCCAGAGCACTACAGCCTGCTCGAGACGCCAGACAGTCGCAGAGAGTCGCCTACACAGCTATTTTTTGTCTGCTGCGCCTGCTCGCCAGACGGACGAGCAGCTGCCGCGAGCATGTGACTTGCTGCTTTGTAGACCATGACTAGTAATTACAACGTCTAAGAGGAAGAGGAGGAAACATGTCAACAAACTGCGCGAGCGTACCTTAACGTCACTCTTTTCTGATATGTATTTGAGGTATAATAAGTTGTCTTCTGAGAGTGTGCTTGATTATATAGCGTGCACTGTGTTTATTCCTATTAGATAATACTTCCCCATAACAATGAACGTCTTTGTAGATTTCAGTTCCGTTCGTCAGCAGGTTCACATTTGTTTTGCCTTAATAGGTTGTCAGAAGACGCAAGCCAGCCGTCACAAACACTGAATACTTGTGTTTATGTGCTCGAGACAAGTTAGGTTTTATTCTCTGATCACCTTGCAGTGCACCTAAACAGAGTGAGTGTTTTTCCCTCTTTTAGCGTGCTTAATCAACCATTGAGAAGGCAAAGAATGAGCATGTTGTTTTCGCCTGTGTGCTGAGGTCATAGCTTTATTTCCTGTGACACGCTTCCAGCAGCTGTCGTTGTGTGGGAACATGTGATTGTTCCACTTCAAACCAATTCATTAAGCACTGCACAGTGTGATTCAGGAGCGGAGAAATATATGGGTCTGTTATGCATGAAATGAACAGTGCTACAATGTGAAATCATTTTTTTTTCTTCATTTACGGAGCACATCTTTATTTTCTGTAGTTTTAGATGAGTGTTAGCATGATGTCTATTTGTAGCAGTCAGCCTTCACTGCCAACTTTTTGAAGACTTTAGAATATTATATAAGCTATGTGAGACATGGACACTGCGGATTTGGGTGAATCCAGGCATTTCAGATGTGCTTCATCTGAATAATTCACGGTGGGAAGGTCAGATAATGTATATATCTCATGATGTAAATCAACAATTATCTTTGTATTTGCTGGAATGTTGTAGAGCAGATGGTAGTAGATGGTAGTTCATCGATATGTCATGTACGTGTTGTGTTTTTGTGTGCAGATGATACTATCAATGCAAAGGCTACATATTAAATCACTGAAAAACTGTGGAGGCTTTGAATTAAGCTTTACCTTTGAACCTGCACAATGCAAAGGTTTTTACTACGAGTTTATCATGTGGTGCCAGATATTTCAAGTTTATCTTCGTTGTTCCTCGCTGAGCTGAAACTGTGCTGCCTTTATGTTTATCTCTCTTCACTTCCCTTTTTTATTGGATAACGTCCAACCTGCATTTCCTCTGGAAAATTTCCCACAGTCATTGATCTCATTAATTTGCGATTAATGAATGTTGTTGTTGTTACAATGTTGTTTATAATGAATGTTTGTTTTTCTTCTCAAGACTAAATCTTAAAACTAATGAGTATTTTACACACTGGTAATGTTATTTTAAACACCAAACTACACACATTTGATCATCTTGGAGACAGAATTCCACCTGGTGGAACTAGTGACTCTTGTTGTCCTCGTGCACTTTGCTCTCAATCATTTGACGGCTGTGTTTGAAGAGCCAACAATTTCCCCACATTTCCACATTTCCCCAGAACATATTCAAACCACGGTCTTTGAGGGACACAGTGGTGGTCCTCTGCAGACTGGGTGCCGCGCAGGGTAAAGTTAGATGTTGAGATGGAAGTAGCCTAGCAGCTAGCTTAGCATAGCAGTGGTCCGTTTGACACTCACCCCCCTTGTGTTTGACACGTGGAGTAATTCCTCTGCACAGTTGTCGCGCCTCTGTTGGTTTTACTTGAGATGCGTAAAGCTCTCTCCATCTTGATGGAGAATACAGCGAGCGGCCGTTTCGTTTCCACGCTTAACTTCGGGTTTACTTCCGGGACCGTTCGTTTGTTTTCCGGTACCGGAAGTAAACAAATGAACGTTAACTACGTTAAAATATTTTGTTACATTAATCTAGGCCACATTAATCTCATAGATCAATGCATTAATGTGGACAGCCCTAACAATTATATATCTGTTTTGAAGTAGTCAGACACTTTGGTACACTCAAAAGTATTTGTTCAGTTGTCCATCAAGAATCTGTTATTGTATAAGTTTATATCAGAGTATAGCATAATAATAATAATAATAATAACATGAGCGTAAATTCAGCAACTCCCAAGCTTAAAAAATAAAACAAAAATAAATATGAAATCCCTTATTCTTACTGCAATTTGGGGCTTTTACTTCCAGGATATTTTCATACCGCATGGCTGATATGCCAGTGATGGTTATTCTGGTGGTTATTCAGGTAGTTTTAATTAAGGCAAGGCAAGGCAAGGCAATTATATTTGTTTAGCACTTTTCATACACAAGGCAGACTCAAAGTGCTTCACATTATCATTTAATTTCATACAATAAAGTGAAATAAAATGCAGGAATTAAAAGACAATTAAAAACAGCAAATAAAATTATAAATTAAAATCTTATTTAATTTGTTTAATTAAAGGCAGAGGTTAAAAGTGCAATGTAGGTCAAATTTAGCAGAAGGCGAAGCTGAACATAAAAGTTTTCAGTCTTGTTTTAAACATGGTCAGAGTTGGGGCAAGTCTTAAATCTTCAGGAAGTTTATTCCAGCTGTTTGTTGCGTAGTAACTAAATGATGCTTTCCCGTGATTTGTATTTACTCTGGAAATCACTAACAGATTGGTGTCAGAAGATCTTAGTGATCTTGAAGGCTTAAGTCACATGGATGAAAACCCTCACTGTTCTGGTTGTAGCAGCGTGCATGAGGTTGGAGCACTGTGCACAGGCAGTCACATGGTTGCTTTATTGTCGTCAGTTGTCCCGTTGATCACTCATTTTTAACCACTTGGACAAACTTCAATGCTTGACAAAGGTCTGGTTAGCCCAGCAATATCAATTTTATTTTATTGAGAAAAAAATAATCTCTCTAAAGCAACTCATGCAGGCGAATCTTGAGAAGAAACCGTGATATAAAATAAGGCGAAGGCCTCGAGGTCCACCCCCACACTCCGTACAATCAACGGCTAAACATTTATCATCACTTTTCAAAAGCAAACCTCAGTCCAAAACAGCGGCAAGGGAGAGGTGAAAACCGAATGGTTTCTTGACATAGAAATACAATGTACTATATTCATGGTTCAATAATAAATACATTCCAACTTGAATTAGAAGAGTTATTAAAATCACAGGAAACATCACCTTTTTCCACACTTCACTTTTTTAAGTCTCCACAATGGTAAAAAGAAAGAAAGAAAGAACTAAAGATATTGTTACATTCCTTTAGTCATTTGAAAAAAAGAATTCTCACATTCACTCTCCATCATCTTGCCTTTTATTAACTCTTACACGCCCTGTTACTGTAAGTACAGATAACTAAGAATGTGATTGAGTAATACCTGTTTTCGGCAAGTGTCTTCACAGTTAACACTACTGATTCTTCTCAGCATGTTCCATCAGAAACTCATTATCTCTGCAGTTGCACAGGCTACTTTAAAGGAAATTCATCTCCCCCACTGACAAGGAAAGCACCGCGACGCTTATAAACTCTCGGCTCCTTCTGGTCGTACTTGCTTCTCTCTTTGGGGGACCTCATTCTTCCTCATGTCCATCCTGAACTTCGTATGGCTCTGTCCCTCCCTCTTGCGTCTGTCCCTCCGCTCCACTCCCTTCATCTTCCTCTCTCTCCGTGTTGATCTGGGCCACTCCCAGTCGGTACAGAGCGTCCCTGATCACCACCTCCCCCAGTTGGCAGGCCTTCACCACTTGGTTGATCTGCTGGTTCACGATGTCCCTGCTGGTGAGGAAATCTACCAGACGGTTGTAAAGGTAGTAATGAGCTGTGTTGTTGAAAACCACGGGTTGGCGGCGCGCGCGGCTGACCGAGTAGCATCCCTCTGAGCTCTCAGCGGAGTGGCCCTCGGCTTTCTGTCCTTCGCCGTTGTTGTCATCATCATCATCATCATTATCCCCCTCTTTCTCCAGCTCAGCCAACAGGTGGACATGGGGCTCCAGATCTCTGCAGAGCACCATCGAGTGGTGCTCTGACGAAGGAGGAGGACGCTCCTGGGCGGCTGCGGGAGGATGAACCAGCCAGCAGCTGGATGATTTGGTGATGGGGTGGACTTGCTGGTTCTCTGCTACCAAGGAGAGGTCAGCGCTGTACGGCTGCTCTTGTAGCTCAGCACATGACACAAACTAAAAGGAAGCAACACTCAGTATGAGCCTTTTTTTTAAAGAAATAAATACATGCAAACAGTAAGACAATCTTCCTGATATAAATAGATGTGTTACAGGCCCATTGCACACAACGTAAAAGGCTAAACCCAAATTTAAAAAAAAGAAATTCATTATTGCTTTTACTTGCTCTTGAATTGAGAGGTATAACTCGAAACGTTGGTTTGTTAAAAGAAAGTCTGATGTTGCATTTTCAGTCTCGCTTCACTCATATGTAAAAATATTACCTGTTTTCATGTTGAAATAAAATTAATCCTGCGTCGAGCACACGCAGGAGTTCCTGAATACATATCTGGATTTAATTTCCATTACTCACCTCTGGTTTTTCAAAAGGGTCCGAGAAGCAGCCTTGGTTCCTTCCCCACATCTGGGTTGCCTGTTCTGGGTACTGAACGTCGGCACACAGCGCCACCTGACGGGGACAGTCGCTAACATAGACAGGGGGCCAGTAGCGGGAGGACAGCAGCAGGTCTACGTGGTCTCGGGCCGTCTCTCCTCTCACCAAGTACTTGGAGCCGCACACCACCTGGAGACAGGTGTGGGAGAGAGAAGGACTAGTAACACGAGACCCTATAGATCACACAGGGGACATTTCAGTTCCAGTTTCCTTTATACTTATCCGACTTATGCCTTGTTCAGACATTACCTTGTGGGGGCAGACCTTGGACAGCTTGCCAGCGGTGAGGTGTGGGGGGGGTGGAGGGGCCGTGGAGAGGCCTCCGTGAACAAGTGTGTACAAGGAGATCAGGGACGCCAGTAGCTCCTTCTGACTCAGAGAGACAGAAAAGAGGCTTTTATTCAAAGATATGAGGACACCGGGGGGAATGGGGAGAGGATGAACACATTCACAGCATGACCGTCACAGCAAGCAAACAAACATGACGAAATATCTTCGAGTGAGACATGAGGTCTTTGCAGGCCCCAGGGTGCAGGGGAGGGGTTTCTGTTTTTAGGCCAAGAAATCATCACATGATTGGTGTATTTCTATGTATTGTAGCAAGTATTTTACACTCCACGTGTTTCCTTTCACTAGTTTAAAGTAAGTAGCATGCGAGTATCCGTCGCTTTACATGGATGCTGGATGACTTTGTAACAAAACTTTACTTTACTTTCCTGGAGACCACAAGCACGAGCAGATAAGACGACAAGAACAGCGCCACTCTGCGATAATAATTTATGATGCTCATAACATGGTCGCTGGCAAAATAATTTACTAGGCCGGGCCCCCTTTGTGTTTTAAGTATTGTTACACACACGTGTACACACACACACACACCTTAGTGGAGTCTGGGCTGACACTCGCGGCGCAGCGGTCCAGAATTGTTCTCAGCTCGTTCTCACTGTGATCTTCAATCTTATCGAGTCTCAGCTGACCGTCGTGAATGAGACGCACCAAAACAGATGGATCTCCTAAAACAGATGAACCGTTCTCTTAAAATATGATTTTGGGGGGGGGGGGGGTCCAGATCATCAGCTTATTACATGTTACTTGCTGCATCACAAAGCATACAATCCATTTTTCGTCCTGTTCTCTATAAAGCCACATCTCCATTATTTCAAACAACATGCTTCACAACTTTTCCGGGATAATTCACAACCACAGGATTAACGGTTGAAAGCTGTGAAAGACTCAGTGGTGTTGAGAAGGAGCTCTGTACCTGAGACCGGCCCCGTGTGCGGTACGACCTTGTTCTTCTCTGTGTTGATGACGGCGGGACTCCTCATCAGCGGGGGAATGAAGGGAGCGATGATGGAAGCATCCACTCGCGTGACGGGGATGTCCGCGGGGAAGGCTGCTTGCTCGATAGCCTCGCTTTCCATAGTCAGCCAGAAGTCGTCCACCAGCACCTCATCGGACACTGAAAACTCAGGCCAAGTGAACTGCGGACGGAATATAACGCGTGTGAGCTTGTGAAAAAGGTGTCTTCAGGATGGAGCGGGTGGGCTCTGACTAGGCTGCCATGACGCTATTTGGGACTTTAAATCCCCACTAACTTTCTTACATTAATCTCTCACCTCCACGTTTTTCAGCTCCAGTACATTGGTTGTGTATCGCTGGGCAATCTCCAGTTTAGGAGCAACACCACAAACGCCGCAGATCATGTCGTTGTAATCGCGCACTGTCAGACACTCAAAGGCCCAGTAGCCACTCAGGAGAAGCTCTTGAATTTGAGCCGTCTCCTCTGGACTCAGACTGTGGACTGATGGGGGGGGGGGGAAGACACAGAAGATACTAGATGGCTTCAAAACGAAAGGGGGACATTAAACTAACAAAATGACAGAGTACATGCTAGCAGAGTTGATTCCAGTCTTTACCAGGGTGATTGGGGTCGTTGTCAAGTATGGTCCTGGCGGCCTGGGGGGGGGCTCGGCCCTGCTTGATACAGGTCCTCATCTTCAGAAATAGGTCGATACTTACAAGCAGTCTGTTCCCAACGTTGAACAGACCTGTCACAGAAAACATTACCATTGAATTTACAGGAAAAGCATTGATTGCCATGTGTACATGAGCAAAACTGGGATCTTACGCACAAACAGAAGAAAGTACGGAAAGCTGCTACACTTACTGAGTCTTATACTAAACTAGTGTTAAATTATAACAATAATAGCAGTTATGCATTTAATACATTTTCATCTCCAAATGTGCAATAATGCCGGGTGTGAAGTAAGCAGCTAAATATCATGATGAAAAAGTATTTTAATGTCAAAATCACACGCATTTGGCTGGTTTTCATCAGCACTCACCAGAAATGTAAAGCTTGTTGTAAACATGTTTGAAATATGGAGAAGGGAGCAAAAGAGTGGCAACGTAGAAGCATAAAGTACCATTCAGTGAATTCATACAGTTTACCCACGTAGCTCATAGTTGTGGTGCCCCCTTATGGTCCCTCGGTAAAATACTGAATATATACAATTAAATATCTAATCAGCAACCCGTTGGTACATTTAGAAGCTTCTAAAATAAAACAATATGTTCATTATATTTTATTTTTCTTATAAGTAATATTAAACGTATTTCTGAAGGTTATGAAGGAGAAGTGATACACATCATTCACAGAAGTAGAACCATAATCTGATTTGAGATATTCCGAACATGATGCAGGACAAACGAAACCTGTAAGGCTTCAGTACTTAACGCTCGATAAATAAAACGGTTGATGTGAGTGGGCTTGTTTACCTGGATGTAGGTCCGTGAAGCTGTGCAGAGCCAGACACTGGACATTGAGACACACCTTGAGCTGAAGAGTGGCCGTCTGGATTAGTGTCTCAGTCAGCAGCCAGCAGTCCTCCTGTCCTGCGACAGTACTACAAAGGACGCATAAGAGGTGGACCAACGTCACCACCACATGATGGTACTGACCCACTAAAGTCAGAGGCCGGTTGGCTGGCGTACAGAGAGCCGTCTTCTCACCTCTGATCTCCTTTGAAGAGAGGATAGTTACACAAGCCACAGTGAGTTGCTGCTGACTCATAGAACTGAGGCCAGCCGGACTCTACCAGCGTCTCCGTCTCCAAGCTGCCCTCGTGCTCCTGCCCACACGGTTGAACCAGGACGATCTGGAGACTGTTGAGCTCCTGGATGAGGGTCAATATTTCCCGCAGCTCAGTCTCGCCCTCGGGAATCTGCATGGAGCCGTGCAGCAACTGCAGGGTATTTTGGCGCTGGATGTCCTTCTGAGCGGAACTCAGTTCCTGGTACGGATCGAGCAGAGTCTCAGACTGACGGAGGGAAAAAAGAAATTGCCATTAACCCATTGACACACATTCGCATGAAAATAGGCTGCCCATTGAATCCGTTGAGACCTGAGAATCATGATTTTTCATGGGGTACCTGGTTTAGGAGGGATTTTTTTTATGATTCCTATCAACCTCACACAGGTGCAAGAGATGCAGCGGAAACATAATCCAACACTTTTGGGCAATCTGAGAGGATTGAGCTTTCACCTTTGTTCCCTTGGCGTTCCTCTGGGTCAGCTCACAGCCACATTTAGGGCACACTGCAGGTTTGTGTCTGTTCTTGTACATGTAGTCACAGGTGGGGTTCTTACATCGCCCCCGTCCACGAGCTGTGGACAGTCCCAAATCCTTAAAGGACAAGGAAGAGCATGGATAACCCACAGGTCGAGATAAAAAGGGATACGCAGAAACCAATAATAAAAGATAAGGAAACGAGAATACTGACAAAGCTGGAAATGGTGTTTTGTTTGAAAGGGACAATTGACAGGATGTTCACTCCCTTATCAACCAATGAGCACATAGACTGGCTTCCACCTGCAGGAACAGAAGAGTCCTACCAAACACATACATAAAAAGACCATATTAGAACATGAGGTGAATCTTTGCTCTCTGTATTTGTGTTGTATGTGCATGTCAGTGTTTGCGTGTGAGCCAACCTGCTTCGCTTCTGATGCCGGGAGCGCCTGGCCCAGCTGCTTCAAAGTGCTGGGTTTCAGTCCTGAGAAACTCTCTAAAGGCACAACATTAGAGACCACCATAAGGACCACATTAGCCAAGAGCTGTGAGCACAGGAGGTGCGGCCATCTATATCTCTTCCTCTTCGTGTAGCACAGTATATTATGCCTATAACAAGCACTGGCCGTATCCAAACACACTGACAATGATAATTCATCAGGTATACACACAAATAAAATAAAAAAAGTTGCACTGTACCAGTGGATGAACTATCGTTGTTTCCACTCGGACTCTTTCCTTTGTCAGGTGGGACGGTTATGATCTGGAACAAAGTTCGGCCTAATAACACAAACACAAGTCCATCAAGTAAATCCATATGAAAACAGCTCGAACACAACTTTGCTCTGTCTGTTCTATAGCACCTGTGTTGTAGTAGGCAGGAAGGATGGGTCTCACGGGCCTCTTTTGAACAGCAGCATTGCTTCTGTCTGGACCTTGGACAGAAGTGCTCTGAAGGCTGTCTTTCACCTGGCTACTCAATGAGGCACACAGGGAAAGTACATCAAAACCTGCAGTGAGCAGCAGCAATCTGCCTTCAGTAAGACATGAATGTGTTTGCCATACTTTCGCCTACATGTAAGACTACATTCTGAATCGGTACAGTACAGCAGTTTGCACACGACTGTGTCCACGTGGTCCAAACCAACAGCGTTACAAACGGGGCCTTCAAATTTCATGGTTGCTTACATTGTTTGTTCCTGCTCCTCGGTGCTGCCGCCCTCTGGTGGCTTTTTAGCAGGAACTGCACGCGGTGTTTTGGAGCGCCGTTGAACGGGCCGTACTTTTTTGCCCGCAGTGACATTCGCTGCACTGACATCTGCGTTCCCCTCCGGAACGGGGGGAGCTGTTGCTTGGCAGCTGTCATTGATCATGGCTTCAGCTTTCTGTGGCAGTTGATTGGACGTGGTTTCTTTCTCTTGCGTCTTCTTTGCCTAACACATAAATGTAGACTGTTTACTGGCTCGGGCTGCACCTAAAAACTGGATGTTGGTATATGATTGAGCCTCCCAACCTGTCGGTGCTGATGTTGTCTGATACTTACAGCAGGGACCCATTTTCCTGCCAAGTGGGTCCCACATTCAGGACACTTTGGTGGCTTGTGGCGTGTGACATACACAAATGAACATCCAGGATTTAGACACCTCCCTCGACCTCTTCGGGTGTACGTCTTAACGCACTGCAAAGGAGGACAAATTGTGGAGGTTGGTGTCTCCAAGCAGCTGCATTCCCCACGGCCATCTTAACTCTAAATGATGACATTCCTCATTGGCTCTTTCTGCGTGTCGACGTCCTGCTCGCCAATTTCAGTATTGACATTAATACGGCAGATGAATAATGTGGGGTTCTTACCATTTTATAGGACGGCTTGGCACATTGTTCCGTGCTGGCGCCGACAGAGACCATCATCACCGGGCCCACAGAGCTGACCCCTGGCAAAGACTTGTGCTCCAGCAGGTTCTGAAGTGACGGACAAATGGCTTCACTGCATTAGCTAAAACACTTTTGGTGATTAAAAGGATCAATAATTCTGCTAGGCGGCCGAAAGACCTTTGTGTCTCACCTGTGTGGGTACGATGGAAACTACATGTGTGGTTTCCCCCTGCATCTGCTGCACCACCGGACCACCGTAACCGAAACCAGTACCTCTGGTTTCATTTCCTTTCAGAGTGACCCCGTTGGCCACAAGTCCACCGCAGCCCTGTGACATGAGGGTGCTCGTAGATGACGGGGCTTTGCACGACACAGAGGAGGACAAGCAGAACGGGACGCTTTGGGGTTCTGCGGACGCCACTTCTGTCTCGCCTGCAATGGCGTCGACGACAATCTGCTGCTCGGAAAGCTCCACCTCACTCTCCAATTGAAGAGGTGTGAACGGGGGCTCTTGGGGCAGAGAGATGGAAGGTGGGCCTGAGTCCGAGCTCACCTCCGACTGAGAAGCCACCAGCTGCTGATGTGAGGAACAGCCTTTGGACAGGAGGAAGTAACTGGCTCGGGGGAGGATTTTGCGGAAGCCTGGCAGGTCTAAGGAGGGGCTGAGAGACGACTGAGGGGAAGAAGCAGAATGGAGAACATTGTTAATAGCTATACGTAGATCCATTAGACGCTATTCTAGAGAAAGAAAGGTAAACGCTGCTTTATCTGTGCGGTGGTTCTTCTTCCTGAAATGATCTGTAGTTACAGGAGCCAAATGTGTTCATTACACATAAATCAAGCCGATTGGCTGCATGAGGGCTCCGCAGTGCGTAATCACAGAGACGGTCTCTGATCTCTTAAACAGCGAATACAAAATCAGCACTAAGTTGTGGGAAAACATTTTGAAACGATGCCTGGGTTTTCTGCTTGGCACCATCATTAATTTACAGGTTCAGGTTGTACAGATGAAACTGAATTTCATTATTCCTCCTACAGGTATCAGGACTCATTAAACAGGAACAAGTTGTGTAATCATTTCTGAATCTTTTATCTTAGTACATTCAGGTCATCATTGAGGTTAGAGTTTTCTGCTAATTATTTGTGTTTTTTGATCATTAATTGAATGACCCTTGAATTGATCAAAACGTCTTGGGTTTAACGTGGCATCACCACGATTGAGTATCTCCTGGAAAATAAGAAACTGTGATATTCTGACAATGGAAAGATATCGAAACAAAGATTGACTTCCTTCAAAAAAGGCACGTTTATTCCAATGTTATTAGCATGAGGAGTTTTTTTATAGACAAAATGAAAGTCGCCATGGATGCTCAGATGTGTTATTAATAAGAGTTATTAACGAACAGAGAGAGATGAGGATGCGGCTCACAGTGTCTGTGCCGTCTTTCTCGGACTTGGCCTTCTCCAGATAGTAGCCTTTCTCAGCTATGCTGAGCCTTTTCCAGTTCTTACTGATTCTCTTGTTGATCTCGGACTGTGGTAGATTAGGGATTTCCTTTTGCATAATCTGATGTACATCAAAGTAGTATAGCAGGTAGGCAGACCTATAAACAGACAGACACATCTTCAATCGGGACACAACAGTGGACAAAGACATTTTAACACATATTTTAACAGCAGTGTGAACAAATCCTATGGACTATGTGCATTACCTGGGCTTCTTAGGCTTCTCAACATTGTCTTCTTGAGCTTTGCTCTTCCTCTTTTTTGGAATAGTCACATCCATCTGACTGCAGTGGCTCTTCACCTCCTCAGTCACTTTCACAAGTTTCACAACTTCCAACACGTCCACGTTTTCTATGATCTCGGGCCATCTTGAAAAATAGTATAATATTAGATGATTGCTTATGTTTGAGGCTCCGTGAAAGTTTATTGCAGGGATTTCAAATCACACTTGCTTTGCCTAAAACTGTGCCAATTCCTTACAACTGAACAACATTCATCATGTGTAGTTTAATGACAGAACTGATTCACTGAAGTTCATCTTAGCTCAACGGCTAAAATATTTTAGCCCATAAAATGAGAATCGAACAAAAGTGTCTTTGTCTAAATACAATATCATGGAAACGTGTCATGCATAGGGCTCTTGAGAGAATAATAAAGCGCACGATAAACATTAAACATGCATGGTCCTTCCCTGCTTCAAAAGTAGGTTTAATGGCGTGTGCTTATACTGCTTGCAGTCAGTGAGCTATCCAATGAAATGCTTTCTTATTGCAGCCTTACCTACGACGACCCGAAGCGCTACAAACTACTCTCAACAACGTTTAGAAGCCACCGACAAAGTCAGGTATTGTTCCGACGATGAGAAATGCTGCAATTCGACTAAAGTGCAAAATAAATCAATAAGTTGCGTTCCATAAATGTCTGTAAAGTAGCTTCCTTTCTCCTCGGCTAGTAAAAACATGGCGGGTTGTTGCCATGGTCTTCGACCAATAAAATGCCGGAATGAATGAGTACGGGCCAATCACGAACGACGTTTTTGACACGTGGAACTATCGCGTCGCATGTTTCCCGTAGCTGTCGTTCCGCCCCTTTTCATCAGCGGTTTGACATTAGCGTTACGGCAGCTAACGCCGTTATCCAAACACAATTTATATTAAGTTACTTAAACCTATTTGTACCGGGTGCAACCCACTCATCTAGGGTTTATTATATTATTCCCCATACATGTTAGTGTCATGGGGGTTACTTAACTAACTTTAACCAGATATTTCGAATGATAAAATCGAATGACACGTCACATGCAAGGGACCACCTTTCCTCGGGATGACTTATTTCATCTTAAAGTATTTCATCTTATAAAACATAATAGCAGATACACTGAGACAATAACCCGCTAGGCCGAATTAATCGAGTTTAAGGGGGACCCGGAGTGCCCCAGGCCGATGAGCCGAACACAGATAATCCCACCGAGCAAACATGGCGGGTGATAAGGTGAGTGAGTTTCTGGTCTTGAAATGTTTCGACTTAAATGTTTCCTCGGATGGCAGCAACTGCTAAAGGAGGACGACAAATGAGTCACCGGCAGCAATTGGCTAAACCATCACGTTGCCGCGCCGTTGACCGCTTCCAACTTCACTTAATCGACCTTTTCAGCAAGTTATGTTGCCATCACCGTAAAAACCAGCAAACCTCGAGAGAATGTGCCGTTTATTTTCAGCCGCTCTTCATGCTCAATCCTCTCAGTAACTTTTGTACTGTGAAGCGATCTGTCGCTTTTGAAGGTGAGTTATTGCTTTTGTTGCAGGATCCTCTGAAACAGCTGAAGGACCTGACGCAGCTCAAACATCAGCTGGAGGAGATCCAGAGGCGAGTGGAGAGCGAGGTCTCTGTGGGGATTCCACAGGTAGCTTGTCTTAAGGTGTCTCTGATCAATTCAACGTTTTTAGTCCGTCCACCAACGTGGACTGTTTCAAATATGTTTGCGCTGGTGAATGTTATCAAGGCAAATGCATAGGGAAAACATTTTTTTGTTGTTGTTGTATTTCTGAAATAATAAGTTCTGCCACACTGAAGGCGATGAAGTTTGTTTTGGCTGTTTTGTATTGTTCAATTGACTATTTGATTTTATTCACTCAGCTGTTTGTCCTCTTGTCTTTGCTGGGACTGTCCTCCTCCTTGTGTTGAAGGGGAGCTCGGTGTTGGCGTCTCCGTTTCTGAAGGGCTTTCTGGCCGGCTACGTGGTGGCCAAGCTGCGCTCCTCCGCCTTCCTGGGAGTGCTGCTGGGAACCATCACCGGCATCTACGCCGCACAGAACTATCAAGTGCCCGACATCGAAAGGACCGTGAAGGAATATGTGAACGGCTTTAAAAAAGGACCAAGATAATCTGGGCTGACTGCTGGTCTCGTCAGTGACATAAAGGGCACAAGAGTAGGAATACTGACCAAACTGCCTTCAGGATGTCCTTGCAGACTGAACTATGGATACAATGAACTGCAATTTCAACAAGGAGTCAAAGTAAAAGCCTGATGTTTTTTATTTGCGTATTTTCTCCTGGGTTCAGTTGAACACTGCTGTTGGGATGCAACGTGTGATGTGGAACACACCTAATGGAAGGTCTTAGTGTTTGGTCCATCATGTTTCCTAACTTGCCTGCTTGTTTGAGCATGTATGTGTAAAACAGGCAGTTATTCCCTCATACACCCCTATTGTTCCGCTCGAAATGCATAATCAGTTATATAAAGATATGCACAAGCATTTTAAATAGGTATTTAAATACTGAAGATTAATTTATTTTAAAAAGCCAAAAGCAAGTTTTTTTTTTGGTTTTGTTTTGCACTATAACAAGTATTAAGGTTGTGAGAAATTGTGTATTTTGAATCATCGAGGATGATTGTGATCCAGAACGCGGGGCCCAGTTCCCCAGCTAGGATCAGGAGGCCGGTGTTGAAAAGGACCGTGTGGGGGGTCCTCTTGGCGCTGATGGTCCTCATCTATGGCTCTCATGCGCCACTCCTCACCCTCACCAAGGTGGACGGTCACGTCCCTTTCAGCGCCTCGTCATGCGTCGTAATGATCGAGCTACTCAAGCTCCTGATCTCTCTGGTGACTCTGGTTTCAACTGGGGGAACATCCGCCTTACTCGCGGCTCCATCTTTGGCCCGTGTGGCCCCCTACGCGGCCCCTGCCGTGCTCTACGCCCTCAACAACAACCTGGTAGTTGTCATGCAGGCTTACATGGACCCAAGCTCATACCAGGTCCTCTCTAACTTGAAAATTGCCTCCACGGCCCTGTTGTACTCGCTGTGCTTGGGCAAGCGGCTGCGGCCTTCTCAGTGGTTGGCCGTGGGGCTCCTCGTGAGTGCAGGGGTGTGTCACAGCTACAGCAGCCTGGATGCAGGGGACCCTGCGAGGGCCGATGACGGCCCCGGGCTCCGCGTCACCGCTTGGGGGCTTTTCCTTGTGCTGGTTTACTGCTGTGTTTCGGGACTGGCGGCGGTTTACACAGAGCGGGTCCTTAAGGGCCAGAAGCTTCCCCTCAGCTTGCAGAATCTCTACCTCTACGGGTTTGGTGTGGCTGTCAACGGCGTCTCCTCCTCCCTCTCCTTCGTAGCAGGGGAGAAGGGCTTTCTGGAGGGATACTCTGGGGTGGTTTGGGCCGTTATAGCCGGGCAGGCAGCTAACGGACTCCTGATGTCCGTGGTGCTCAAGCACGGCAGCGGGATCACCAGACTGTTTGTCATTTCCTGCTCCATGCTGGTTAACGCTCTGTTGTCTTGGGCCGTCTTGGGGCTGCAGCTCACGCCTTTTTTCCTCCTTCCGGTGTCTATGATTGGATTGGCGGCTTTCATGTACTACAGGTAGTTAATAATGGAACCGCAAGGCCCATTACAGAATGTACATTTGTTTTCTAGGTTTTTTTTAGATGTGATTTGTTTTCAGCCTTCTACATCTCGCCGGCCTTCTGAAATCTGGCGCGTATTTGTATTTGTGAAAAAATACCACATCATGTGGGAACATTTGTCAGCCGAGCCCTGGTGTGGTGATTTAGCAATTTTTAAATTGAATTCACAATTTCCTCTCACTCTCAAGTAAATACCAATAAATCTGAATTATTATATCTTCAGTAAAGAAATCCTGAAGACTGCTGCTAGCGTAATTATTTTATTTCATTCTATGCCAAGAACAATGTCGAAGTCCAAATAAAGTGTGTTCATGAAAACCAGTTTCATCGTGTAATGGTTTCTATATTTAGCACAGTGATCTTCCCGTCATCCATTCACTGCTGTTGGCGTCCCAGTCCAGCTGCAGGGTCCCCTCGCACAGCGAGTGTGTCCTTTAACGCCCCCAATGCTGAAGAAGGAAAGACTCCGTTAGAATGCTGGGAGAAAGAATCCGATCCTGTCTTCTGTGCCACATGATAATGAAACGAAAACCCAACATCCAGAGGTGCGCCGACCTTTACGGAGTTGCTTGTTGTCCGCCTGCAGCTGCTGGTTCTGGGCAGAGAGGTAGACGGCGTCCTGCACAGCTTCCAGCAGCACGCTCCTGTATCTGCCCTCCGACGTCCTCCTCTGCTCCTCGCTCACCTGACGAAACACTCTGAACACCTGCGGTATCCAGACACCTGGTGGTAAAGGACTGTCCAGCTTGTAACACGGTAAATTAAACGGGAATGAGTGTTCTCTCACCTCCAGGCTCTCCTCTCTGTGACCACGCAGCTCTGCTTGGTGGTTTTTATATTGATGGTGCAGGTCTCTCTCAGCCTGCTGGGCCTCAGCGCGCAGGGCCTCTATCTGCAGCACCAGGACCCTCCTCTCTCTGGTCAGCACCAGCAGCTCCCTCTGGAGGCCTTCTGTCTAGCAGGGGAATGGATGAAGCCGTAAAAAGAATGCGAGGGAACAACATAATCAGGTTGCAAACGCAGTGCGTTCCGCTGCCCGAATCCAGCCCTAAATAAATTCAAACTGACTCAGCATCCTCCGCTAAGACAGATCGCAGGGTGAATAATGTTAAACAGTGTATCTCATTATCTCACCGGTAGCTGTTCCTGTGCAAAGTCTCTCTCCATCTTCTCCACCTCCTCCTGAAGTAATCTCCAGTGGTCCTCTTTAAGTCGCCTCCTCTGTTCCTGTGATTTGCTGTATTCCAACTGAGACTTACACATGCAAAATCAATGAGCGTGTGCGACCCCAAAGCCTCGTATAAACACATTATCCAATCAGATACACAGGCATTCAATGTGATATTTAATCCATGGAAAGCGTTACTTGTTGGCAGAGGTCAGAGTTCTCTGCAGCAGCCTCCTGTGTCTCCCCTCTGAGAGCAGCGCTCAGCTGCTGGATTCGTCCCACTCTCTCCTGCACTTTCTCCACATCCCCTTTGCCCTCTGCGGGAATGAGAAAGATGCTCAGAAAAATGTGCTTCAATGCCAAAGTATCATATGTAACAGCAAATCACCTCTGATGTGTTCTTCCATTTCTTTATTCAGTTGGGCTTGTAAATATATCACGGTGTCTGAACCCGCTCTGCGATCGCCGCTGTGCACATTTCTTTTTGGAGTCCGGCAAGTCTACCAAATCAATGCACAGCATGGTACCCGTTTCATAATGTTGGAGAAGCACTTATTCTCTTCTCATTCTGTTAAACTGTGGCTTTTACTATGAACCTGTCTTTTGTCTTTTATCTTCTTTGACTCTTCCCTCCTTTTCTCCCAAGACTGATTCTTCACAACCTGTTTGAAAGATGGCAGAAGCTTCAGCTTTAATCTCATTGAATCTCTACGGGTCACGAGGAAGCTGAATAATAATGAACAACCTGCAGGTCTCGGGTCAGCCCTGCTAGCTTTACTGTGTGCTGAACGTCACTTTCCCCCTGCGACATCATCGCGTTTCTCTGCTCCGCGATGTCATCTCTGATCTTCTGCTCCGTTGCTCTCGGACACCAGCGATCAACAGTTGCCGCGGTCACCAAACCTCTCGCTTTCTGGGCCAAAGCTAAAGCAGCGGGGGTCTCGTCGTCTAGGAGACCTGGTGGATAAGAAACGAGTCATTCCTATGATCAAAGGATTATGGGTACCGGTAAGTTGGTGTGGCCGAACTTACCCTGAGGGCTGATACAGTAGATGAGGGCCGTCCTGCTGTTTCCCCTTAAGGCATCATCTAGGAGGACAGGGAGGATCTTCTCACTGGTGGCGGCTTCACGTTGCGTTTGGTCCACAACCTTCACCAGAGGGCAGACTCTGCAGAGGGTTTATGGTAGAAAAAAAGATGAGACGTGTTGTCATGGTTTCAGTTTTTCAAGAGGCCTCGGAGTTCTTCAAACGTGTGTGTGTGTGGGTGTTCAGATAAAGACCAGGACCTTGCAGACGTTCCCCATGAGGAATACTCGTTGTTTAGCCTCCACACTGGTGGTGGGATTATGTGATAATATATGAGGCCGTGCTTCATAAAGCTGAGCACTTTATTACTTTAACCTTCTTAGAGCTGCCCAGCTTTCCGTGCTGTACCACGATCTCAGGGTTTGTGTTTAAACTGAACTATTATCTTTTCCTGGCTTTTTAAAACTGATTATAAACATCCTGTCTAACCTCGAAGGCTGCTGTTTTTGGTCTGTTTTTTGAGGTATTGCTTGAGCATCAAGCTGCAAGGCTCGTTTAGAAATTAATTTAAAACAATGTATATGAAATCAGCCTGGAATAAAGTCTTTCCGTGATGGATGATCCTATATGATTTTGATAATAATATTGCTTTGTCAGCAAATTGCTTTATTTTTATTTGACTTGATTCTTATTTCTTTTTTTACTGTTGACATAAAATCATTTCCTCCTCAATTTCCTGTTTCTTGTACCCTTTTAATTCCCCAGAAAAAATGAGTGAGTCAGAATATTGCTTAAACCTATAGCTAGAAATCGGATTATCATTTCCGGTCCTTCTGGCGCATGTAATAGATATCTGACAGTAACGGAGTGCACGGCTGACCCTCTGAGGTCGGTCCTGCTGGCTCCTCCTGCCAGTCTGAACAGCTGCAGTCTGCTGCGACAGATCTCCGACTGCTCCTCCTGTGGATGAAGTTTCCTCTCAACGGCCACAGAGAACAGGGAACTGCATCTAAGGGCAGCGAACGCACAGCCATGTGAGCATGAGACCCATAAAGTGAGCTTCAGTCCTGCAGCTCAGGGCTCAAACTTGAATGACAGCCTCCTAATGAGAAAACACAGCGACGCATTTGCTCCGTGACAATCCCGTTACTAATGCGACAGTGAGACACTTGGCTCCGGGGAAACGTAATGAATCCATTCAAAGTAATTGAATTAACGGATTGCATGACCAGAGTCTATTTGACCTGCGCTTTACCTCTTTAACACGGCGGCTGCATCGGCCTTCAGGGCCTCCCTGCAGGTCTCATACAGAGCACAGGCTTCTTCTGCCGAGCACACGCACACCTCGCATAAACCTCCCACAAGACTGAGAAAATAGACAAAGACGAATCCTTTGGTTTACATTTGATACTCGGGTAAGTGCACACGTGGTGTTGGTGGACGTGTTAATGGTGATCGGCTGCACTACACCTTCCGAGGACGGGGTGTAGCACGAGTTCCAGCGTCTTCCCGCTGGGGTTTAGGAGATCCACAGCGTTGCCGTCTGGGTAAAACTGACATTGACGAACGATCGTGAGATCCTGCACCAAAAATGTGTCCATACTGTGATTCATAGGAGGACAAACCTGAACGAACGACACAGAGACGAACAACTCCTCCTCCCCTTGTGACGACATACGACCCAACAGATCTGCCAAGACCTAAGACAGTTTAAGGTAACATGATTAGATAAAAAATAAAATCTGGCAATATTTAGAGTAGTTGGTGTTTTGAGCTCCACCTGTCTGATGATAGTTTGGTCAATCAGAGCGTTGATCTCCTCGGTAGAGGCTCCACATATCAGCAGCGCTGCGTTGTAGCCACCTGATGTGGACTCTGTGAGGGGCTGCAGGAACTCAGGGTGCAAACTCTGCAGATTTATATTCAGACATTCAGAAAAATGTGATGCAAAGCTACAAAGAGACGTAGCGGCGAACAGCTCAGATAAAATCCTTTCTTACCTGTATGTTGTCAAGAGTCACAACTTGGTCAAAGGAGAAGGATTTCGCTTCCTGATTGAAAAACGCGTTACAACATTAAGATCACATCACAGAGGTTTGAGAGAGCAAATTGTTGCATGTTGATGGAAGCGGATCCAAACGTTTTACCTCGTCCTTTGCCGACTTCCAGTGCACACCACACCCTTCCTCGTCAATAACCACATAGTCTTCAAAACGAAACGTTCAAACACACATTTTCAACAACAGCTTGGCCAATTCACAGCCTTTTTAAAAAGAAAATGTTGTGGTTCCTTTACCTGGAAGCGCAGCCAGGACTACTCCCACTCTCACCTCATCTCCTCCCTCACACAACTGGAGAAACATGGACATTGGTCGAAACAAAGCCGCCTTAAATCCCCTGTTGTCCCTCCATGTTTGCACGCGGATGCGGTTGATTTAGGAGGTACTTACAGGTGCCTTCGCGCTCGCAGCGGCCATCCCGTGCGTATGTGTCCCACAGCCACCAGATCACCTGGGTTTCATTACACCGCACTGAAATAATAATGAGCCAGAATCTGCTTTCACTGGTCGGCTTGAGGTCGTCACAAAGATGGAACAAATTACGTAACAATTGCCTGAAAACCCTTCTACCGTGTCTTGTCAAAATAACAGAAAGATATCACAATTGTAGATTAGTAACAGGAGGGAATTCATCCCATTTATTTTAATCAGTTTCAAATCATTTAAATATACAAAGATATTGCAAACAATGGAGGAATTAAAAGAAATATGTGAAACAAATGTATCCTGTCTTCCCTTTATATTTGTATCACTCACAAGGTTGTCACTTTCTATGGCACCCTTCATAATGTTCTGGAGATATTTATGAGGTGCCAGGTGGTGGGAATAAAATCTTGTGGAAACGGTAGTTACTGATGTTGGAAACAGCCAAATATGACACACAACTATTTGTTCTGTGTCGACCCGAGCAGAGAATGGAGTGTCTCTCCCTCCGACTGTCGTTATCGATGCTCTGCTTGCTTTGGTCCCTTTTTTTACTGCTTTTAGTGCACGTGTGCGCGCGCAACTGGTTAACTGCACTGCTTGGAGTGTGTCGGCCCAGTGTGCGTAGTTTGTGATGATAACGTGGTCATTTAGATGCACCCCGATTGTGTATGCAATAAATGAATGACTAATTATGCTCAATTTTCAATTTTCACAACCTGGCAACCCAAAGGTCATCACTAATAGCATATCACACGCAAATATGTCGTAGTAAGTAGTCTATTAGCCTATAATAAAGCTATTAATTAAATCCATTTTGCGTTATTACAAAGTGGTACGCAAAAACAAAGATGCCGTCTGCAAACAATCAACAAACAAAAACGAGGTACGACAAAAAACCCGTAAAGAACGACAGGCAGAGAGGAGGGTCGCTACACCCTGCTGATCCTCAGGCGAGGCACCCTGCTGCTCTTCAGGGAGGTCAACCACAGACGCGCTGTGTTCTTCTGGAAGTGTCCCATTCATCAAGATGGCCGACTGGTTGTTGTCCACCTTTAGCTCCTGGAGCTGAGACAGGTTGGCCAGACATGGAGCACAGCGAGGCGGGGGTGAGTCTCAGCAGCTCGCTGGGAGAGTCTGCAGAGACGCTCTTATTTGAGACGCTGGCAGGATTGGACTCTCTGAAGGCTGGCCTCCTTTCACAGTGACGTCATTGAAAAGAGTTTCTCAATCTGTAATAACGGAAGAGAGTCGGGCTCTGATTCAGAGTCATCGTCACCTGAGAAGGTCGAGATCCAGAGAGAATTTTACATTTTACTGAATTATTTCACCTAAATAAACTCTACTTGTATACAGTTTTTGGGGTTACGATAGAAATGTCAAAAGTTGTTTGTTTGTTTTCTCAAATCCAAGTTGTTCGAAACTAAATTTGCTAAAAAATGACTTGAGTTAAAAATATAAAAGTTCAATGAATCTCCAATAATCTAAAACGGGATCTCAAAATGCATTGAAAAACATTTAACTCAACAAGTCAAGCGAAGGTTGTCTGCAAGTGTGTTCAGAGAGTTTATATACACATTTGTTACATTACTGTTGTTAGACATTACTCTGTCATGTCTGAGAAATGTGGCACTATATTTAATGAGATACAAATTCATCACCTTTAATTCAAGTCAGTAGGTGTGTATTTTGGTTGTAGTGATTACTACTTTTACCATCTTCCTTTGGTGTGCCCTCCTCTTGGGAATCTCCTTTAGAACAAACATTGGTTTTGATTCTATGAATTCCTGATGCGATGGTAAATGTAATTGCTTGTAACGGTGCTTAAACCGGTTGTTCGGATTGTTCTGTTGTGGAAAAAAGTAGTGATGTTTCTAATTTACGTTTGTAAATCCATGTACAAAGCAGTGAAAATAAAAGAACTTCAGGTTCTTCAGATTAAATCCATAATTGCTACATTTATTAAGTTCTCGAATTGCAAATATGTAAAACTGAGTGTGTCTCTGCATCAATAAAGAGACATTGTAAATAGTGTGATCAGAAAGACTTTATTGAAAGATTGTATTGCAAACGCTCTCAAACGTTAGCTAGCGGTGGCTCTTACTTTCACAACTTTTTTCATTACAAAGAATATTTTCGCACTAAACTCACATGTAGCCATGCAGATAGTTTTGGTTTTATTCATCCAGCCTTTTTTCGTGGCACACACAGCACTGAAAATACTGATTTACTGCTTTATCAAAGAAGTGTGGCCTGTATTCTATCAAAGTATACTTAACATTGTCCCGGGGAAGAGTCTGGTCTCTTGTGTTTCAAATGTGTTGTTCCCTCGCTGTATCCATCCTAAACTTCAACTTGCCTTCAATGTTCTCAAACAGTAACTTTAAAAATGAACTACCTCCATGTCTACATGATGGTCCAGGGTTACACGTGTTATGTGAATAGGAAAATTAAAATGTTGAACAACTTCAAGCTTTGTTTAATATAAAAGGCAAAACTGTAAAACACAGTAAAAGCAATGCACTGTAGTAGCCCTATATAGAGATTTGATTTCAAACAGCAAGCAAAAGTAGTTGAAATTAAAAATGACATGTAATTGCTTTAACTGATCAAGATTCAAAGCAATAACCGTCTGCATCCAGCTTAGAAACACTTTTTCCCACATCTGTGCTTGGTGAAAGGAAACCGCACACCTTCTGCTTCATTGGTCTCACTCATCTGTAAAAAGAGACAACACAACATGCGATAACGTGTGGTAACAAACAGATGAGTCCTAACTATAGTTATCAAGCTCTGATTCAGGTATCGGTATAATTGGTGACAGGTGTATTCTGGGTAAAGGCACTTGATAATCAAGTGAGTGTTCAGTGGTTGTGTTTTCAACATATCAAATAGTTCAACTGCAATAAAATAATCCTTTATTAGCTCCGCATCGGACTGAAAAAGCTGATTTGAGGCACTCACCATCAACGCTGAGGGTCTTCTGAATCCGCATGGGGGCCAACATCCTGCGGTTGGGATAAGCTGAGGGGGGGAGGAGGGGGGGGAGAAAAAGGAGCAATTAGGTTCATCTTCCCTGACAATCCAAAGTCCTTTAATCTGTGCGATCTGTGTTCCTACCGCTCTGGCAGTCGGGGTGGCCGCGGACGCTGGTGCCCGGGATGGTTTTGCCAGTCGGGTCCACACACCAGCAGAAGCCGGTGGCGTGCCAGCACTGCACGGGCTTGTAGCGGCCCTGCTCGTCACACTGGGGCTTGTAGGAGCCGATCTTGGTAACTCCAGACTCTCCCTCCAACTGGCACTTGGTCTTGATCATAGCGGCTGAGAGGCAGAAATAGTGGAGGACGTGATTTTGTTTGAATAGTAGAAGGTGACTGTAGAGAAGTTTCGAGTAGGAAACATTTAGGGGCCAAAATGCACGTATGCAAATTACACCCACATGATCCCAAAAAAACGCATCAAACTTTCTTTGTTAATACACAAAACCCAGTTTGTGTTAAACAATGTGTTAAAGTGGGGATTAGACTTTGCGGGTGGATTTAGTTATATTTGGACTGAGCCAATCACTTGTTTTTATGCTATGCTAACAGGCTGCAATTTCATATTTAATAGACACTTATGAAAGTTGTACTGATCTTCTCCTGTAAGTCACTTCCGGTGAGCGAATAAGCACTTCTTCCTTGAAGGCTAAATCTGTGATTTCATTTTCACTATTCACTTGATTAGTGTAGGAAATAAAACGTGTCACCCATTGCAAAATATACAGTAACACCCTCTCAAAGACAATATCTGACATTTAAATGTAACCTTTTTCCACCGAGGTAATTCATCTCATATCAAACTTTATTTTTATTCAGACAGCGATATAAAAATATTGCCAACTATCTGAAAATAATAACTTCCGAACTCTATGACAGAAACTAGTAGTTATGTATACTTGTGTCAATGCTAGAAATGATCAGCGTTTGTTTTGAATGTTTGTTCAAGGATGCCTGTTTTTTGTTTTTTATCATATTAACTGATATAAACATTTTAAGCTGTAACATGGAGTTTGAATGATTACCATCAACGCCCATCAGGGGACTCCATCAGCTATATGAACACGTGCAGCACATCAGCCCCACTGACATACTAAAGAAAACACTCAGATGTAAAGGAAAGGCCGTTGCAGTAACCTGACTGAGGCGTCGGGGTGGGAGGATTCTGCTGGGCCATCTGGAAGATCAGCCAGTAACGCATCCAGGACTCAAAGCTCTGCAAAAATGTAGTAATTCAGGCAAGTTAATATATTCTTGCTTATCTTTGCTTCGGTCGTCTCCGTGTAAACGTCAGAGAGGCTTTACCGTCCACTCGCTCTCATTCACGTGCTGCTTCAGGCTCTGCAGGTTGGCCAGGAAGGTCTCGTTGAACTGCGGGAGCTGGGAGCCCTGCGTCAAAAACACGGCCAGAGCTCAGTGACCACACAACGTTAGCAACGTGAGGACACACAAGGACACGGGGACCCACCTGCATGAGGTTCTTCACCTGGGTCTCCAGGCTGACGACAGTGTCGTGCAGTTTCTGATAGGAGGGGAAAACAGGAGTAAAATAATGTTTGTTTGAAATACATTAATTCATTTTACATCATCCAAAAGGTCTTGTATTGTATTTGATGTGAAGCCAGTTTAAACCCACAGTCAGGGGTTTCTTGTCGTCGTCGATGGAAGTGAAGTCCGTCAGAAGAGGAAGACTCCTCATGGGCATCTGCATCCTCACTGGAGCTGTAAATAGACAGACAGACACATTTGATCATTAATAAAGATCCCTAATCCCCCCCCCCAACAAATTATGTCATTGTGAAAAAATAAGAACTACGATAGTGAGGAAATGATCTTGTTTGAAATTATTTATATTTATTTTTTTGAAAGCTAATGAACTGATTTGTTGTTTTTGTTATTAATCAGGCGCACATTTCAATACACAAGATAATTGTGCCACAGAATGAATAAATACATAAACGACTTGAAATAAACAGTGAATTTGATTGTGTTTGGATGAGAAGTATAAACATTTAGCATCCAGACTGGTATTTAGCGACACGGACCCTCCTCCTCTTCCTCACGCAGATTCCATGTAATGTTAGATGAGCATCTTCATGGCCGTGGGTTTGTCCTAAATGTTTTATTGAGTCTGGCACAACACAGCGACTTGCAAGTAGTGCAGCGTATTAAATAAAGTGATGTGTGTCTTAATGCGGCTTTGGAAATGAACACAAAGGGATTCTGTATTTGCTCATGGAGCTTGAACATACTGGTTATTTGTTCTGATAACCGACCGCTGCCAGTTCAGTGTTTCCCATCATTATAAACAGGGGTGCGCCCCCCCCATGACGTAGTAAACCTTGGGGAGACACTGCAGTCTACCGAATCAATGCGAACAACGTGTGTGTGTGACTCGTGTCACTGTAAAATGGGTTGTGGTTTTATCTGTTTAAGTTAGATACATTTGTTGTTTTGTTGTCGTGTCTCTGAGTATCGCTATGTTTCCACCATCCCAATGACAGGTCACGTGAGACTTTTATACTTTTACTTAAGTAAAAAGCTTGAGTTGACACTTCAACTTCTACAGGAGTCTTTTTAAACCCTAGTATCTGTACTTCTACTTGAGTAATGAGTGTGAATACTTTTGACACCTCTGCATGTGATACTGCTGGAACTTATACGATAAACATCAGCAGCATAAAGCTGGTGATGCTCCACCAACCAATCAAAACAGAAGCAAATGCTCATTTCTTTTGTCCAGGTTTCACATCCACTTTCACTTCCTTGCCTACCTCCTCATTCCTTCCAGCCTCCTCTTGCTCCTCCTCCTCCTGTCTGACAAAGGCTGCTCACTCATTCGTGGCACATTCCTGCTAAACCTACAACGTCTGATCATTGGGACTTTTCATGCCTGCGCTTACCTTGGGATGCGCGGGTCAGCTGTTTGCCCAGTCGGTTAGAGTCTTTCTGCAGTGAGTGGATCTGCTGCTTCTGGTCAAACACCATGAAGGCAGTGAAGACCTGGCTGGCCAGCAGCAGACATGCAATGGTGGTCAACGCTGCCACTTTAAAGGCACGCTGGTTGGAGCCCCTGAGAGAGAGAAAACTATGTGAGACGCGGGGGGCAGGCACATGAACTTTGAATGAATTTTAGAAAAGATTGCATTGTTAAAGTTAGTTGGTACATTATATATATATATATATATATATATATATATATATATATATATATATATATATATATATGAGATATATAACATACTATATATATACAACAATAAAATATACATATATTTCATGGCTGCTTTTAATCACCCAATGAAATGTGAGCATCAATTGTCTCCAGGCAGAGAATTTTCCTGAGGTTATGAGGAAGTACACCCACAACTAAAATTTAACACCTATTAAAACATGATATTTCTCACAAGGTCACTTGAACGTCATATTTTATATATATATAACATTATATTATTTATAACAGTATAGCTATAGTATAAAAAGTGAAACCCAGCAGCGTATTGTACATCAGTATGTAAACAATGGCACCAAATCTAAATTGTGACTGAAAAGCTGAAAAAATAAGTGACTTGAACTGGGAAAAGATAAACCTTATCCCTCACAAATAACACAAATATTTGTCACACAAACAGTTGGTAACTCTCATGAACCATATTCATTTTGAGGTCTAAATGTCAGACATTGGCCGATGTTTTCTCGCTGTTTTTTCGGACCAATCGTATGACGACATCACCTGTTACTAGGCAGACGACCTCTGTGAAGCGACCGAATTCAACGTTAGGCAACTAAAGATGATTTACAAATATGTTTTGCACATGAAAAAAGGAAAACATATAACTAAATCCCTTTATTGTTTTAAGGACTATGACTTAATTAAATGCAGTCATCATTTTCGTACCATGCAGGGAACAAAACAATAGGATCACAACTTAAACAAGTTAACAAATCTTTTACAAAGGGGAGCTTTATTCAGTGGTGCACAGATGTGACCACCGAGCGGACAGCTGTTAATATGAGTTAATATAAGTTCACTAATATAAGTGCACTCACCCGGCGGGACTTGCGGGGGCTACAAGGACTTCTTCACTGCCCGCCAGACTCCCTCTGGACAGGGGCGCATCTTCTGCAGAGTCGGCCATCTGCTTCTAGGAGGGTTGTCTCAACGTCCAAAGCAAGTTCACAGCAACAAACTGGAGAAAGCCCCGCGCGTCTGGCTGATAAACGGTGTTAGAAATGAGGAAGGAGGACCGGCTTATTCATCAGAAAGATGAAAAATGCGGAAAGTCCCTCGCGTCTTAAACACCCTGCTGGACTGTGATTGGTCCTTTAATAGCAGCATCACCTGTTGATAGAGGCAGACTATTGTAGTTCCCTCAGCTATAGTTCCACAAGGTTTGATTCTTTGTTTGCACTGATTCAAAGTTAACTTGGGCTTTATCAGAATACTTTTAATCATTATTAAATTCACTTTTGTTAGAAGTAATTATGTTATGTATTTGAATCCATCATTGTTCTTAAATACAGTAATGCATGTCACCATGCGTTGGCAAAGGGTTCCTTGAGACACTTGGTTGCATTTTGTTTTACTAAGAATCAAAACTAAGAATCAAAATAACGCAAGCCATCTGCTAATGTATCCAGGTTAAGGTTAAACATCACAAGGACGATACAAAAGTGTACTTTAACGTAACTTTATTTTGTATTCATTTTCATATTCCTCTAGTTTATTTTCCTTTCACTGTATAGTTCATTGAACATGTTATATTTCCCGCACAGTGTTATTTGTCTTATTTTCCAATGCACCACCCATCATGTCAAAGTCCTCGTGCATCTGTTTATTATTATAAATGTTCCTGATTCCAGAAGGTGAAACCAAAAGACAAACTAATCTGGTTTCAAGCAAGTCAAGTCCAACCGGGTTCCAGAACACTCGAAACAGCAGACTGCATTTTCCTACATGCAATAAAACTTAAAAGGTCCGTTAAATAAAAGTAGGCGGTTAATAAACAGGTAGGAATTGCACGGAGAAATAAGGAACAAACAGATGAAAATATTGAAAAATACAGTGGTGTTTTATTTGCAAATTAAAAAGCACCGACAATATTAGTTACAATGTAAAAATTATTGACAACAATTACAAATCTTTATCATACAGTCCAGGAGATTAGTACCATCATTGCTGTTATGTGTTTTCACTTAATACTTTATATGGAGAGACTCGGTACCTGTGTACAACAGTTGGCAGTGAGAGGAAACAATCTCAGCGACACACCTCTTGCACGATGAAGCGATCCAAACTCCCCTCGGCACAGCACGGACACGTCACACTACGGGAATGGGCCGATGACGGAGAGCGTAAACCCAAAAACACATTCAATAATTTAGGTCTACCGAGGGCTGCGTATTATGTACATTACAAAGTCGGGAAATGAAAAGGACCAACATGTGCGTTGACGTACAAAACTATTGCAATAAGAGCAGCTTTTTGTTTTCTATGCTTGACATCTAGTTGCAGTGGGAACGCCTTAACCGACAACCGAGCGCCTGCGTGCTCTCAACGGGCGTACTGCTGTTCAGCCGGGAAACTTTTCAACTTTACTCCCAGAGACGGCTTCTCTCCCCCCTCCAATTAAAATGATCCAACACATGAAATAAAAATGTACAGTGAACTGAAATAGCCTAAAAACAAATTTGAAATGCCCAATCTTGATCTGTACACGATCTGAATCTTTCTGAACACAATGTGTAATTAAACATACAGTAGCTAGCTTATGATCCTCTTCACAGACTGTAGTAGGAACTCCATCTTCTTAGTGTGCTTCCCAGTAACCTGTATGTTCAGAAGCAATGTTTACTTGAGTGCCTTAAATATTGTGCTTTCAACAGTATATATCACTACTGCTCCTGCCTGAACCAGTTTAATGGTCTGAGCGGACTGTACAGGAGGCTCAGCAGAACGGTTTAACAAACCAGTCCCCTGCACATCCAGGCCTATATGAGAAGACTGAGCTAAAATGTTTAGTTTTGGTACATTCTACAATAATGCATTGCCTTCAGCATTAGAGAAACAAAATCGGAGGAAAGTAAACATAACTTTAAAAAAAAAATTAAGGGAACCCTCAAAAGTCCACATGGTAATATTTCATTGAAGATCCGGTGGTGGCACTTGTAAATGCCATAACTAGATACTACCAAGGCCCATCGAGTAAGGCTACAACATGCAGCCTGAGGCGGGACTCCAGACTTCTCATAGAAACCACTATAAACACTTGCTTACGTTAAAGGCATTTGCCACCATTGTCTCTCCGTCAGGCTGTCATCCTCTAAAGTCAATGTTAAGTTGCCTGTTTTTCGCGTGCTCCAAGCACAACAACTCTTAGCTGGAGACACGGGTGATGTCGTGTTCATCCTTTTTATCCCCAGAGCTGAAACGGTGAATCCTTCCTCAAGCATCGGGCCTCTTGTTTTGTTCCTTCCTTTGATTTTTCAAGATGAAGTCCAAGTGAAGACGAGATGCTTGATTAAGGAGAGCAGGGATGTGGCAATCAAACAACTGACTGAACCCCCCCTCCCCCATGCACCACTAAGACTCTCCGAGCCCATCGCCAAGACATCCACGGTCCTGGTTGGTCCTGCAGGGGAGCAACAGCGTGTGGACGCCTGGGCAGAGAAGGGAGCGCTAAGCGCTGCACCGAAGCAACTGCGCTTTCGTCCCGCTCATCGTCCTCTGCTGTCCTGTTCATTTGGGGAGGTCACAATTAAGTTTTGAGTTCTGGTTGAGAGGGGGGAGGAGGGAGTGGGCCGTCGCATCCTCAATTTTCGATGTATCGGCTCCCGTCTATCGGTCCCTTTCAAAACTAGTCGGGATCTTCAACATTTCCGGCCACCGCGGCAGGGTGGAGTTCAGCGTGTGGAGGAGCCGTGGTCTCCGCCTGCGGTGCCGCTACCTGGTGTGGACCAGCTCTTCTCTGAGCCAGCTGGGCAGCGGCTGACCCATCTTGTAGAGCAGCTTGGACAGCTCGATGTTGTGATCCCTGTAGTACTCCCTGAGGAAGGTCTGGGACTGACGGGGACAAGTATGAAATCACCTTAAAAACATCTCCAAACATCTCCAGAATAGAAACAAATAAAAATAGTTCTAACAACTCAATTAGGTTGTGTTAAGCCTCATACCTCAGGGTCCATGTCGGGGTACCGGCGCCCTTTACTCTTCCCCAAACACTTTGTCTTCCCTCCCTCCAGCAGCTGACACCAGAAGCCCTTCTTGGGGTCAAAGCTGTACATAAAACATGCATTGAATTAGTATCAGTATTTCATTTAGGGTTCAAATGTACGCTTACAAAGCACAACCTCTGTAGAGTTATGTCAACAATCTGGATTCATTTTGGGGAGTTTTACTAAAAAACAACCAAAGAAAGGAGATGAAATGGGGATGATGTGGAAGACCTGAACAGCCAGACAAATACAATGAAGTATAACCGAATCTGCTTTGTTTTATTTGCACTCAAAACTGGTGTTGAACCTCACACATGTGTTAAAAAGTGACCAACAGCTATCTATTAACCAACTGGTCAACATTGGCAGTTAAAAGAATTACTCTGCAAGTCAAAGACGATTCTCACGCTAAGATCTTGTGGTAGTTGATGACGTTGACCAGGGACAGATACTTTTGGATTTTGTCCATGATGGAAGCAGGCTCAGTCTTCAGCATCTGTCCATCCAAGACCAACAGCTGGGCGACACAAACAAACCACAACCAGAGGTTAGCAGCTGTGAACCATCATTACTTCAATCATTTTATACATAAAAAAAAAAAAAGTTTTTTAAACATCGTGGCCCCCGGTACCTGGCTGGAGTGATAGAAGTTGAGCCAGCGATCCAGGTGGATGGCGTACCAGCCGGGCACCAGGCAGCGGTTCTGGAGGACGCGCAGTCGGACCGGTGCGTTGTGGCCTGCAGTGATGACATCATGGAAGGAGTACTTCAACGCCACCGGGTCATCGTGGGCTCTCTGGTGCTGTGCGCAGTGAGAGAAATAAATCACATTACATTTCTATGGGTTTTGTTTTTTTTTCGTTCTTAGGGGATGGCGTCGTTGGGCTCGGGGTTCCCCGTGACAGACCTGGTACCAAGAGTAAGCTCTGTCCGCCGGGTTGATGAGGATGGTGATGATCTTGGCCTTTGGCAGGAGCGCGGCGGCCCTTTGGGCAGCCACCTCAGAGTCAAAGTAGTTGGCACTCTTCTCAAAGTAGTAGTCAGAACTAGTGTTGGATGGCAGGGGGAAGTACTCCATATACCTAACGCACACGCACAAACACACACAAACACGTGTCACAAGCTCGCTCTCCGTAGACAAGAATCGTTTCTCGTCCGGGACGCAACAGCTTGACACCTCGTATACAGAAATAACCTCGTTCGGCAGCACTAACAATATTATTTCGGCTGCACGATCACAGAAATATCACGCCTGCCAGGTGCATTTTGTGTCGATTGTTTTTGCCGTGCTGCATGAAGCTTCTGGTTGATGCAGGTTTCACATCAATTAAACCTACAGGAAACTCAAAGCAGTGAAGGTCGAACTCAATGGATGTTTTCATTATGCGGTTGGTGTTGCTCTCAGGAGTTTCACTAATGAGTAGATTTGTTGTTGAGTGGGGCCTCGGCATAATTTGCATTTTGATTCTTGATTTCATTTGCATTAAACAGAAACACTCCTACCACCTTGGGCTTTGAAATGTAATGAGAAAGTGACCTTTAAATCAAATCTTACTTCAACTGTTCTTTCATGTTTTTTTAACTGGAAATGTTTTCCCCATTTCAACAGAGATTTAATATTCAGTTCCCTGTATATTTTAAATTTCACTATTGGACCTGCACTTTGCAACCACGTTTCAATGTCCTCGAGCCACAACGAGTCAGAGTGAACATCTAAAACTGAACTTGACAAATGTAATGAAAAAACAGCCAGTAAACATCAAAACAAACAGAAATAATACCCATAAAAGCATGTACATAGATAAATGTGTTTGGTAAGTGCTGCCGTTCACGGCTATCTGCTTTCTTACCAGTCAATGCCTCGGTGGTAGTTGTGCCCATTGAAGAACTGGATCTCCTCAAAGGTCTCCTTGCTCGGGTAGTTACTGGTCAGATCCGGGTGCATTCCAAGAAACAGGTAGAGCGCTGTTGTCCCTGAGGAGAGAAATTAAGTGACAGAGAGGAAATGATCAAAAGGGGGTTTACAGGAGTGTGCAGAGCACACGGAGCGTGACCCGATGTCTTCTTCCTAATTTAATCATTTCCAGATTGCTCCTGTAGGTGGTGCTGAAGCCCCGTTTCTCACCAGTCTTCTGAGGCCCGATGACGAGCAGTTTGGGGAAGCGGTCACATGTTTTCTCTTTGGACCAGATGTCCTTGTGCCTTTTGTCCTCGCAAGGATCCTGTAGCCACAAATAGAAAAAAAAAAAAAAAAAAACAGCGTTTTCTTTCAAGCTTGGTTTCTAATGACAAACAAATTCCTCAATTTTACCATAAAAGAGAAGGCTTTTGTTTGTCAGGCACTACAGTGAACAAATAAGATTACTTAATTAAATATGGTACAACAAGTAACGGCATTCCTCTCCATCCATCAATAAAATTACGTTTTTGCAAAGAATTAAAGCAAATACTGTACAATGTCAAATTTGAAGGGATACAATGTGTTTTATTCAGTACCGTCATCTGCTATATTGTGTCATTATTGCAGCATTCAACTGAAAGCCGTCCTAGAAATGACTATTCGATGCAAATTTAATACACAATAAATATATCGCGGTATTGCCATCACCTGCCAGAGTGGATCTCTCTCGGAGGGGAAGAGGCTGAAGTACTTCTGAGCCAGCTGAACGGGGGGCAGCGTCTGCATCTTCAGGTTGGTCCACGTCTGGAGGAACATCACCAGGCTTTTAAAGGTGTACAGGCCGAGGCGATCGTTGCCATAGTTGGACAGATGGGTCATGAAGATACTGATCTGTGATGGGAAGCAACAAGCAGAGACCTATTCAAGTGGATGAAGGCAAATTCAATAGGCTATAAATTAAGGATGGGTAGTATGAATTGTTCCAATGGTGCGTTATCAGTAATGTGTGCTGTATCAACTCAGATAAAGCTGAAACAGTCAATCATTAATTGATGAGTCTATAGATAGAGAATAAAAAACATTTGGCGGACTTAATTGTGAGAATTTTATGAATCCTCATCAGAATAATTACAGCGCACCTGCAAAACAATGGCCTGGAGGAAAGACTAAAGCAGGAAAAACCTGTTGCAATGTTCAAATCTGACTATCGTTTAAAGAATAAAAGAATGAAACACCTTTCTTTTGACTTAAAGCTACTATAGATACAAGAATAATTCCGTCAGTTTCACTTAAAGTTTAACTTTGATAAAAAATGATTTATTATTCCAAAGTTTAAACTTCGAGGAATGCAACTATCTGCACGCTATTCAGGGCGACTGCTGGGGCAGACATTGTACTTTTATAATCTAAAAAATGCAGCTCCAAGAAAAGAAGCTTTCACAAGAGAGAAAAAAAAAGAGAAAGCACAAGGAAGACATCGTCCCCCGAGTCACTGCCGAGTGATTTTCCCGTCCCTCATTTAGACTTCAATTCACAACACCAGTTAAATGGGTTTCCGAGTGTGCAAGACAAAAGCTGGGCCTCGTCAATGTGCTTCTGACTCACAGGGTTCAGCAAAACCGTTTGGAAGAGTTCTCCTCCATTGATGAGCTTGTCCAGCTCGTTTGGACTGCCTGGGTAGTCTTTGTAGAAGATGGTGTGTGTGAATAGACCACACGTCTGCCTGGGGAGCACCTGTGATGAAAACACAAAGTCACCAAAAGTACAAAAAAAAAAAAAGAAAAGAAAAGAAAAAGAATTACCACACACAGTCACGTTGTTAAAAGGAAATCACAAAGAAATGCTTTCACTCCAATAAACACAAACACCATCAGCACTCCGCTGAGAGCGGACCAGCCAGGACTCCAGGCGTTACCCCGCACATTGTTTGCTCTCAATAACGTTCATATTATGCAGCCCATCTTGCCAAAGCGAGCCCCTTATTCACTCACAGTCTATATGGAAATTCATGGAAATGCGTTTACAGTTTGAAGTGTCGGGGGAACTGAATATCAATCATCAGTAAGCATTGGAGACTGTCCATTCAGACTGCGGCGCTATCTGAAGGACGCTTGCCCGGGCTGTGAGACCACACAGGCCGACTGAATGCCGACACTACAAAGGAAGTGGATTGAGGCCACACTGTTCCTATCAGTGCTGAAGGTCATCCTGAGAAAGACGTGGATAACACTTCTCCTTTTTTTCCTCCCATACCTCTTGAATGTTATCTATTCAACTTTAATTCCCTGCCTGCATTATTCAGCAATGGCCGCCGCTGTGAGGTCGCAGGGAAGAGTAGTTTTTTTTTTTACGGAGGTGATGACATTTCAGTGATTGTTTTTTTTGTGTGCAGACAATCGCGACGCCGTGTTGTGCTGCACTACTCGGACAGGTGTCTCGGGCAAAGGCTTCCTCCACTACCATCCCATACTTAGTAGATGAATACAACAGCCCAGTAAGACTAATGAAAAGATTTCCTCAGTGATACACCGCCGATGACAAGGAGATGCTGCTCAGCATCTCCGGGGACCAGACTTGAGAAAAGCGGAGGCGGGATGATGGAAAAAAATGCAGGACGGAGAGAAATGAGAGACAGATGAGCACAAAAGAACTGGAGACGGTGGAGATGGCGAGTTAATGGATGGACGATGGACGGCATGTGTTGATGGAGAAAGAGAACCCTTAAAGGGATCATTAGCTGAAAATATAATGGATGCTCAGGAGACAAGTGGAGGAGAAGCAACAGGCCAGAGGTAACAAGATAATGGCCTCATGGACGCTTGATGTGGATGAAGAGTGGTCTTACGCTGATGCCGCTGTGGATAAAACCGCGGCGGAAGCGGGCCGGCTTCAGGTGCGGGTATTCCTCCGTGCTGGTCACCTTTATGCCCCACACCTTCTTCCAGGCGTCGTACAGCTGAATGTGGACAGGGTAGACGCCGGAGTGGTGGGGGGCCACCGCGTAGCCCATGTTAGTGGGGATCCCGTGCTCCTAGAGGTGGGGAAACACGAGGGAGCGTTGAGAGGCAAGAAGAAAAAAAGAAAGAGAGAGAATGAAAAGTTCAAGGCATTATGTTCCCGGCTTATGAAAGCTATAATATAATCCTTCAGGTTTTTATGAAATCCAAACGCCCACAAATCAGAAACATTTGTTGTCAGGATATTTCCCGCTAAAGCCATTTAATGAATTAACATTCAGTAAGTACCATATTTTTATTGGCTGGATTCAGATTGCCTACATTTACAGAAGGGATTCACAAGAAAAACACAATTTTCACACTGATGCCGGTTTTCACTCTAATGCTAATTCTGGCAAAGGACAGGATAATAAAAAAAAAAAGCCAATGTAATTTTTCTTCCCCTCTGTCTTTTTTATCTGCCCATGGAAAGGAGAGGAAGAAGAAGGAGCCGTTACAGTGAGCTGTTATATTACACATCTCCTGCCTGAGCGAGCTAACTAACCGCACAGTGACCTACTGTTGTGTGCAGCACGAAATCTGAGAGCAGTTGGAAATGTTTTTGACTGGAAATTAAACAACATATCTTTGTTAACAGATACGCCAGATGCTCATCCTGTATTTCTACAAAGCGGCAGTATTTACTGTAGTGCCAAACTTTACCGTTACCCCGGTAACACCAGGTATTGTCGAAAACAACCAAATCCTTACAGATCATAGCTGGTGGAAAAAGAAAAAAATGCATCAACAGCGTGCCAAAGATCGCTATTTGAACAAGGAAGATGAGACTTGCCAGAGCTGCTCTGATCAGGTCAATCACCCCAAGATGTAAGCGACCGACCCCCCACCTACTCCCCCTCGTGACTCACTATGGCAAATTTCTTGTTGAGCAACATCTGCTCGGCCAGCACGGACTGGTTGTGGAATAGATGGGGCTGCATGTGGCTCCACATGTGAGGGAACCACCAGAACTCCTTCACAAAGGAGAGCAGCAGGTCGTCTCCCAAGTCCTCCTCGTCGGACCCTGACATGACAGAGACAGAGGCAGAGAGCGCAGAGGGGGGAGTGGATGGAGGGACACGGCGGAGGTGAATGGAAAAACAAGCGGGAGGCGGGTGAAAAGGAAATGGAGGAGATACAAAAGTGACAGTGACAGAGAAGAGGCAGAGGCGAAACGGGACCAGGGAGGAAATGAAAGTCAGAGTTCAAATATTAGAGAGAAACATGTCAGCGATTAACAGCCGAAGAAAGTCAGAGGACCAAGGGGAAGAAGCGCAGTGACAGAGAAGTTACATCATTGTAAATCAAACAGTGTTATCTCTGCTTGAATCAACAGTAGCAAAAGGGCTGCATCTTACCGGCGTGAAAGAATTTCCCTGAGAAGCCCAGATTGAAGGTGAAGTTGGGCACGTGGGTGCGCAGCTCCCTTTGTGTCTCCAGCAGGGCCTGGAGCGGTGGGAGACAAGCAGAGTGAGTCAGTGGTGCACGTTCCGCTCCTGCCGGTGCACGAGCGCATTAAGAAGGAGGCGGCGTGAACGCCCGCGCGCCCACATGCAGATTTCAGGCCGCAAGTTTCTCTCGGTTTAAACATCCAACATCCAGTCCCGGTTGCCTCACTGCTCTCCTTCATGCCGTTTGATATTTTTTTTCCCCTCCTGATTCCGATGTTTGTTCCATTTGATCTCTGGCGCTGGAGGAGGCTAACGGGCGCGCGCCCCCGTCGGGTTGTGGTTTGTTCCCTTAAACTCGCTGCTGCTGCTCTGCCAGGCAGACGGCTCGATGCCTCCACCTCGCATTCTGTTACTTTATACCCTCGGCCCGCAGACGTGAGGGGGTCTGTTCTGTTCTGCGCTGACGGGACGCAAACAAGGGCCTTTTGAACATTCTTTGCGCCTCTCTGGGCCCCTGAAATATTCATTGGTGTGGAGCTTCTGTGACAGCGGAGCCTGTCAGCTTTGAGCCGCCTATTGGGACCAACGCACTGAAAGGGAGGAGAGGAGTGGCAGACCGGTTTTTCTCATATGACTGGCACGGGGCGCCGCGTGCTTTGTGTGATGTGGCATTTGTCTTTATATCTAAAGAGCCGTTGGGAAAAAAAAATAAAAAATACGTCAACAGGTTTGGTTTCCATTCTGACTCGAGCTTTTCTTTATTTCCACTTCAAAACTGGCGCACAGACACTCACCTTTACATCAGGCACCTTCATGCGAGTGCCCTCTTTGCCCACAAAGATGTCATCGACGTCCACGAGGACGTAGCGCTCCAGGGACAGCGAAAGCCTCTTGCCCGTCAGGAAGGCCACGGCGTCCACAAACACCAACTTGTGCAACCAGAAGACCAAGTTGTTGCCAAACAGGACCCTCTGGATGCCGTCGTGGAGCCCCAGGTCCTGCACCACCGACGGGAGCAGAGCCGCGTTCTGCCCCATGGACGCGATGCTCTCGGCCGACTGGGTCTTGGCCAGCAGCACGGGCTCGTACGTTGAGTGGTTGGACTGGAAAACGGTCCAGTCGTCCCCGGGGAGGGGGCCCGGCAGGGGCTGCCCCGATCGGGTGATGAAGAGCAGCGGGGACTTGGGGTTGACGGTGCAGTCCTTCAGACCCAAGTTTGAGTGCAGAAAGAGGGGGAAGCCTTTCAGCTGTGCACTGAGCAGACTGTTTTCATTGGCCTGAGTGGGAGAGAGAGAGAGAGAGAAATCAGACTGTTCATAAACCAGAGTGATGAAGATAGAAATGTATTTGGATATAATTCCCTGATTCCTCCAATCATGTGTGAAATGAAGGATGTCGGGCCTACTCAAACGTGAAGGCATGTGGCAGCTTCTACCTGCTATGCTCGATCTGCTGTGCTCGGAGATTGCAGTCGAAATGAATGACCTCCTGCTGTGTCCTCTATGATTTAAAGTCGGAGGGGTTCAGTGATTATTCATGGAAACGTCTCCTGTGTAATGTGTCGGCCTCCAAATCTCTCACACCCCCACCGCCGCAGATATACAGCATAGTCTCTCCTGGACTTTTAGGGGAATCTTAACTTCACCACAATGCATGTGTAAGATAAAGGATCAACTACAGCCTGATGACCCGGATATTTTAAAAATACCAGAACATTCTAATGTAAATACTTTTTAAATACTAATTGGAAAACCTACAAATGATTGGGGGATTTTCTAAAGTTTGGCTGAAATACAAAAATAAACAAACAGAAAGAGTGAGCAGGCACATGTTTACATGACCATAAAGTATTGTTAGCCCTCAAAATAAGATTAATAGTTTGTGAGTGAGCGAACATTCCTATTCAAAGACACACACTCGAACGAACAAACTGTAAAACACCAATAACAGAAATCCAAGTAGACTTAGTTTGGCACAAATATGACAACCTGCTGTATTGAACCATGTTTTTCAACTGAGGTCTCTGAGAAACACAACTAACTATTGTGCACTTGTCACCAGTTCAAAATCAGATTTTTTAGTAATTCTAAAAAAAAATGAGGTGTGTTAACAAGTTCCAAGCTGATTAAACAATGTTTCAGTGTGTTTTTCTTGTTGCTGTTCAAGGGGCCACAAGGTCCGTTTCCCAAACTGAACATGCGAGTTAAACTTAACCCCGTACATGAATTTACTCCTCAAATATGCTGTAAAAGAATTGTGATGTACCAAAGTCAACATTTTAGTGTTGAAAAACTTGTATATACAATATATTATCTCTCAGAACGCATGTCGATATGTAGTTTATCAGTCGGGTTCTACTGCAAACCGGTTGTGATTCAGCAGCGGCGGTGTGTGACCGCTTCATTGGGATGCACACCCTTGCTCGGCTTCCTCCTCCTCCCGATAGCTGGTAAATCCCACCAGGCTTTCATTTCTGACCTTCACCTACACCCTAATAACCTTGCAACACCATCCATGCCTCCACATCCCTATCCATTTTCTTTCCACGGCTCAGCGATCGTGATCAAAACCATAAGACCTGAAAACCGGCCTTTAGGCAAACCGGCTCAGCTGGGGATTACTGGGGGGGGGAGAAAAGAGAGAGAGAGAGAGAGAGAGAGAGAGAGAGAGAGAGAGAGAGAGAGAGAGAGAGAGAGAGAGAGAGAGAGAGAGAGAGAGAGAGAGAGAGAGAGAAACGCAGAGGTTCAGAGCACTCTCGAGTAACTAAAACAAAAGGAGAGAAGACGAGAGACTGGGGAAAGAAGGGTGAGGGAAACCACATTGCTGAAAAAAGGTGAACAAAAACTACACAGAGCATAAAGAGAAAAAGCGCAACAGGGACGGAGCGATTCTGAACCAGCCAGGTCTTCCCAACCCTGTGAATCCCATCTCCTTAGAGACGGAGGAGCCAGATGGACAGGGCAGAATGTGTTAGTGAGAGGAGGGATGGAGGGAGAGGGAGTGTGGCGTTGTCCTAACCTTGAAGAAGCCAATGATGCCCACTCCATATTCCACACAGTATTTGTCCAGCAGCTCTCGGTTCCAAGCGTCCAAGTTAACATACTTGAGAATGTTCTCATAAATCACCAGTGTGAAACGCCCTCGGTCTTTGTCCGTCAGTGTCGGCATGTCGCCTTTGCCGGGAGAGATCTCAGTCCGGTACTTGAACCGGCCAGACTCCAAGATGGCCACGATCTCCTGACCCAGCTGAGAATACTGGCTCTCCACAAACACCAGCACCACAGGGTCTGTCCTGGCCCCTCCGGGATCCACCCCCGGGGCCCCCGGGACGCCCCGCAGCGGCAGCAGCCGCGACGGCGTGACCCTCGGGTCGTCCGAGTCGGCGGACGCTCCCTCGGCTCCGGACACGCCCCCTCCCGAGGGCTCCAGTTCCCGCTTGACGCCATAGAGGAAGTAGGCAGAGATGAAGACGCTGACGGTGCAGAAGAGGAAGAGGAGGAGGAGCGAGGTCTGCAGGGGGAGGAGACGGACCAGCCGACGGAGGCGCGTCACGCATCCCAGCATCGTCTCGCGCCACGCCGCCCCACCGGCCCGGCAACACGGGGGCACAGCCTCTCTCGGTGTGGCTGGAAAACGGCGAGCGGGGATTATTCACAGCAGAGTCAGTCCGGTCATGGAGCTGAACACGAACGGCGTGGAAGCAGCAGCTGCAGCAGCTACTGGAGAAAGAAATGAGACGGTCTCATGTTGGCTCTCCCTCATGTTGCAGCAGGGCTTATGTCACCATGGCAGAGAAATGGGGGGCCGCGGACCGCTGGAACACACTTCTGCCTCAGGAGGGAGGGCCGGCTGGCAGGCAGAGTCACTGGTGGAGAAAGATGACGGAAGACTCCATCACCTGTCCATCATGTGAGCCCGCCAACCGCGTCCCGGTTAGATTCCGCGGCGCTCTTTCGACTGGAGAACGATCTCTCGAGAGAAGCGGTAACGCGCAGGTCATCTCAGCAGCGCCATCCCATTAGGCTCCAATCGTCCTCACCTAGAAGACAAGCGAGAACAGAAATAACACGTCAAAATCTGGAAGGACAGCAGCAGCACGTATAGAACAAAACGGACAATTGATTTCTTTTGTTGTGTGGGTTTAGCTGTGAGTGGGAGGTGTATGTGTGTGTGTGTGTGTGTGTACACCGCCAGTGCCAACACTCCACAAAAGTTCACTCCAAAGTAGTCCTTGCATTCACCTACACAGACACGGAGCTGCCAAGTCCCCACAAACACACACACGGGCTGCTAACCCGTGTGCACAAACACACAAATGCATAAAAAGATTGGCTTTCTCACGCAGCCTCCACTCAATCAATAGGCAGATAGTGAGTGACAACAAAGACTTGAGGGCGAGACCGTAGCCGGTTGAGTCCAGCAGCACCGTGTGACTGCATGCGACCTGCGCGGACACTCGCCTCCCATTTCCCTCAAATCCTCAAAAGAATCCAGGAGAAAAGCAAGCTGATGAGCAGAGGATGATGAAAGTGACAGACGGAGCTGGGGTCCATTACTGCGCCCTCATCACAGTCCCTACACATCCGCCATACCCTCTGCAGACCGATTGTGATGTAGCAGATAGCTCCCTCAAGCCCAGTGAGAAAAGTACACAATGCAGCAAGAGAACGGTGTGAACTTGTCACTTACAAATGCATCATTTCTCCATTTGGAGGCGCGGTGGGGAAACGACACGAGGCATCATTACTTTTGCATGAAAACGCTTCGTCCATTAGCCCGGAGAGGTATTGAGGTGGACACACACACGCACACACACACACAGAACCAGTTAAAACCCCCTAGATACCAGATTAGAGTCGCAACCCTCTCAACCCAAAGGCATTAAACAGTGACCACCAGACCCATCAAGACTCAACACAGACATAAAATGGATTTAATAATGCCATTGTGAGGGTTTATTAGCAGCACCACAGTTTAATTAAAAGGTCAGTAACAATAAAAATATTTTTTTTTTTTAAAGAAGAGTGAACTGTTGCGCTGGCACAGTGGATCCTAGGGGCTGCAACCAATAAATAATTAATTTTATACAAAGACCTACACCGAAACCGACCGTTCCATGCATCGTTTCACACAGATCTCCTTAGTAGAAGATCCTCGCCGTTCTTGTGAACTCAATATTTCCTTTGTGAAAAACACAGCTCATATGTTGTTCCCCCAATGTGATCACGGTCAGCATTCTGCTGGCAAGCAGCTCTGCCCCTCTCTGGCCCCCCCAGCTAAGCTTAAGAGGACGCCTTCAATCTCTCTGAGAGCAGTGGGAGAGATCACACTTTTCTCTTGAGTCGTGTCCAAGTTGCCTCTTTTACGGGGAGTCAATGTAAAGAGAGGCCGTGAAAAGCCGGTGGGCGGGTGGAGAAGCTATCACAGCCGAGCAGACAAAAACCAACAGCCCCGGTGCCTCAAAGATCCTCGCGATGCCTTTTCTGTTGGTTTCTGAGGAAGGCGGAGCTCGTGTCGGTGCATAGCGAGGCATGATTAGCCACAGGAAGTGACTACTGCTGGAAACAGTGCGGCGGAAAGCAGACGGGGGAGACAACTTTAAGCACGACACCAAGGCCTAAGGTCTTTGGGGGAAAGGTTTGGCAAAACAGAAACTGCACAGAGGACGGCCCAATTCTACAAAATCTGGAACTATTGATACTTCAGTTCGCAAACTTGCTGCATTTCTTTACACCCTGCGTCTCGGTGGAAGTGTGTGAAACCACCCAGACATGAATAAGGAACGTTGCTCTTGTGCGCATGCGTGAGATAACTGTATTAATAATTCAATAATGATTTTAAAAACATCTCACCGAGCTCATGTCTTTCGGAAACAGACATTCTTGGAAGTTATTTTCAGTTAATGATTAATCCAAATGAAGGAAGGCGCGTTATCTGGCTCCGCGAGGGGGGGGGGGGCTGAAAGGCCTTGAGAGCAGATTAAATGAGCAAACACCAACATAGCAGAGGCACAGAAAAACCTCCCTTCTTGCCCAATTCGCAGCGGTGATGACACCGTCTGAGTCCCGACCTTGACCTCCAGACAGACACAGGGAGCTTCAACCGAAGGAAGGGAGGGAGGAAGGAAGGAAGGGAGAGGGGGCGAATGTGACAGCCTGAGAGGGGGAGTAAGAGAGCCGCCGACACAAATAGATGGAGAGCTCAAGGCCTCGAGTGTGAAACTACAGCTTTGAGATCGGGCCCACTAAATAGAGCCCATTACATTAGACTATAATGGAGAACAGGATACAGCACTGACATAAGAGAATAATGGCTAATGGATCTCAAATGTCTTTCTGTGCCACGTATACCTGAGAAGGAGCCCGGACACGGCCACAAACATCTCCCTCCGTAGTAATTGATGCAAAAATGTAGAAGGCAGAAAAGACAACATGAATATTTCATGCTCAGCTGATGAGAGGTGAAGCCAGCAGACATATACGCGAGGTACAGGAGCGCCAAAAGGCTGCGTAGAGACCCAAGTCCGCCAAGGAGAGTCAGTGTCTTAACTCATGCATAAAGGGAGAGGCAGATGGAGCCTAATGCGGATCTGATAACCCATCTTTTCATTCTCAGGAGATGGAAAAAGCTTAGACCGAATACGAGCTCAGTATCCGCACACGTGGTTTAAACGGAGGTGGCAGAGAGAACAAAAAGAGGGGGAGAAAAAACAGTAACATGAGTGGAAAGGGGAGGAACAAGCATAAGGGAAAGTGAAAATCAACTACCAAAGCTGAAGAACAAAAAATGAGTGTGAAAATGTCCCCGAGGCAACCATCAGTCCTACGGCTTTAAAAAACATCAATTAAAACCGTCCCCTCGGTGTTTTGTAGCAGCTGAAAGATTATGACAGAACGAAGCGGAGGCATAAACAATGGCAGGTGATGGCCGAGAGGACAGGCTAATGCGTTTCCTCGGGGTGGGTGGTCACTAAAGCCGGCTCCCTCTGCATCATGGGAAGCAGGCCGGAACCCCGCCGCTAGATTAATGAGACGACGAGGAACAGGGGGACGGAGCCTCAGCTGCAACAACTCCCTGGATAAACACCGCTGAGATTGGCCATATGTAGTCCCTCCCCCCCCCCCCCCCCCCGACACTGCTGTTGCACTTCTTCAAAAGTGTGAAGTGGCAAAGAGCTTGTGAGGAGAGTCAGTACATTAACACCGCCGACCACAGTCGGGACAGCCGCGGGTGATCCCTTCGACAAATAAGCTTCTAAGAGGAGAGCTGGACCCGCAGAGACCCCTCAGGACCCGGCAGTGTCACCCCCAACCCCCCCCGATCGGTCCCCTCGCCACCGACAGAAATAAACGATGACCCTCTGCGTTCAATTGCCGCGGCCCATGGCAACAGCACGTTCTCCATGGAAACGCTGGCGATGCTGAGGAACAGGAAATGGCGGGGAGGGCGGTAATCCATAAGGCTGCTCATCAAAAGGCTACGGTTGTTGTCACTTTTCTGCCTGTGTGAGTGTTCAATCGAATTCACCGCAGCGGCGCCAGCAGAGCGCAGACAGACCCGGAGAGACTCGTTAGACGGGTCCAAATTACCCAGCGACAAAAAAAATGTATATCTGTTTCGCTTTACTCCCGAGCAAATAAAACTGAGCTTTTGTGCAAACAGTCGGGCCTCACAGAAGACAAACAGCTTTGGTCGGGCCGCTGGAATCGCACACGGGTCCATGGGTCAAGGTTAAGAACGACACCAGTGTATCCTTCAATCCTGTAAGCCCGTTAATCACGACGCTGCAAACAGTTACTAACGTGCTCGCCGGCTCTGTTACTGTCGAGAGACGCCTTGAAGGGATTAAGACACTAGACACAATAGAGCGATGAGGGGGAGCGGCGAACAGTGTGTTCCGAGAGGAGGTGAAAAGGCGGCGCGTCTCTATCACTCTCGCCTCGTTACAAAATGGTGCCACGCGGCCGCTGTGCTGGAATCCTCCCGTACAGCGAGAAGCAAAGCGAAAGCGCATTTCTGTACTTGCATTCAGCCTCCTACCCTTTCATGCCAGAGATTGAACTTTAAAAAAGCACTCATTTTTTAGACTTCTTCTGAAGCAAATCTTAAGAAACAAACACGGAGCAAAAAGGTTACATTTAAAAAGTCAGTTGCAGGTTAGTTTTACTACCCCCCCCCCCCTTCCTTCAGCCAGCCTTGGCATTCATCAATATAGAATCAAATCAATCTGAATTCAAATTTCCATTTCATGCATTCATTGTGGCTGCGGCTGCGATTAAAGGCTTAGGCCATGAAATAGCGCGGAACGCGGCGCCGTATTCCACCACTCAGCCGATCCCAAGGCCTTAAGCAGGCAGCTTCATTTCTGCTGCAAACATCTACAGCGACACGTCCGTTTCATCAACTCATTTCAGGCCGCTGCGTGAAGGACAGCGGACTCGGGAGAGGGACGTAGTTCGGCCTTTCGCAGATTCTCTAGAAAGACTTTCAGAGCATTCCGCCTACCAAACCACGCGGCGAAATGATCACATCATTTTTCACAAACTCAATTTGCTGTCTTCACAGACTGAGGCCATTTTACAGCAGAAAAATAGGTTGCCTCAATTTGCCCGCAGCCCCTCCAATTACATCTCACGGCCCTACTTGGAGACCCCGGCGATTGAAATGGTAGCGATGTCACTGCTTGACACGGTAATGGGACAAAGAGGCAGAGACTCGTCTTCAAATCCAGACAAGGGAGTGAAATCTTTTCCTAAGAACAAGTGTCTTCCAGGACAATTGGATAGAATGTGGACATTTCTATAACACTGCTGTCTAATATTGACAGAGCGAGATCCCACCCTTTGACATCCATTAGAGGAGATCTTGTCAGATCCCATCAACACTGATACCATCCTCTCTGAAGACGACTTGATGCAGCGAGAGGCACAATGGCACGTCGCACAGTCACACAATGTGGAGACGATTAGGACCCAGATGAATGAAGACGCAGGGCAGAGAATAAAATATACATGGCGCTCTCCAACTCTCATTTTAGAA